CAGGTGCTCCTGCTTGTCGGACACAACAACGTTGACATAGTTGGAAGAGCGCAGGCAGTGGTCCATGACCGACAAAAGACAGTTGCCGTCCGGTGGGAGGTAGATGCGCACGACCTCGGGGCTCTTGTTGGCCACGACGTCGAGGAAGCCGGGATCCTGGTGCGTGAAGCCGTTGTGATCCTGGCGCCAGACGACGGCAGTCAGCAGGATGTTGAGCGACGCCACCTTGACGCGCCACTCGACCTCAAGACACTTCTCGATCCACTTGCAGTGCTGGTTGACCATGGAGTCGATGACGTGGATGAAGGGCTCGTAGCTGTTGAGCAGGCCGTGGCGGCCACTGAGAACGTAGCCCTCGAGCCAGCCCTCGACCGTGTGCTCCGACAGGATCTCCATGACGCGTCCAGCGGGGGCCAGGTTACCACCGTCCTTGTCCTCCTCGAAGTAGTCGCCCAGCCAGACCTTCTTGCCACTCGCATAGACACCGGCCAATTTGTTGGACTCGGTCTCGTCAGGGCCGAACAAGCGGAAGTTGGTCTGGTTGGCAGCGATCACATCGCGCAGGAACGTGGACAGCCGGGCCATACTACCGTCGCGCGTGGCACCGGGCTTGTCGACCTTGGCAGCGTAGTCGCGGAACGCGGGCAAATTGAGCGGCTTCTTGAGGATGCCGCCGTTGGCCACCGGGTTGGCACTCATGCGGCGGTTGCCCTTGGGGCAAATGGCGTCGCGGAGCTCGCCGCTGATGTGGCCCTCCTTGCCGAACAGGCGCTCTGGCTCGTAGCTGCGCATCCACTTCTCGAGAATCTCGAGGTGCTTGGGGTTCTCGTGCACGTCCGTGATGGGGACCTGGTGGGCGCGCCAGAAACCGGCGAGGTAGTGCTCGTCGATCTTGCGCGGGCCAGTCCAGCCCTTGGGTGTGCGCAGGATGACCATGGGCCACCGGGCACGCTTGGCGACGCCCGTGCTGCGGGCCTCCTCTTGGATGGCGCGGATGTCGAGGACGCACTGTTCGAGTGTGGCAGCCATGGCCTGGTGCATGGACTCCACCTCGTCGCCCTCGACAAAGTACGGCTTGTAGCCGTAGCCGATGAAGAGCGACTCGAGCTCCTCGTGGCTGATACGGGCCAGCACGGTAGGATTGTTGATCTTGTAGCCGTTCAGGTGCAGCACGGGTAGCACGGCGCCGTCCGTGATGGGGTTGAGGAACTTGTTGCTGTGCCACGACGTGGCCAAAGGACCGGTCTCAGCCTCGCCGTCACCGACCATGGTGAGGGCGATGAGGTTCGGGTGGTCGAAGACGGTGCCGTAGGCATGCGAAATGGAATAGCCCAACTCACCACCCTCGTGGATGCTGCCCGGAGTCTCGGGCGTGGCGTGCGAGCCAACGCCGCCGGGGAAGGAGAAGTACTTGAAAAACTTCTGCATGCCCTCGGGGTCCTCAGACTTTTCGGGGTAGACTTCGGAGTAGGTACCCTCGAGGTAGGCCTGGGACAGCACGGCAGGGGCGCCGTGGCCGGGGCCGGACACAAAGAAGGCATCCAAGTCGTACTTCTTGATCAGGCGGTTGAAGTGCATGTATGTGAAAATCTGGCCCGGGGCGGAGCCAAAGTGGCCCAAAAGACGGGCCTTGACCTGGTCGATCTTGAGAGGCTCGCGCAGCAAGGGATTGCTGCGCAGGTAGATCATGCCGAGCGACAGATAGAGGCTCGCGGAGAAGAAGTCATCATACTGCTTGATCTGCTCGGGGCTGAGGGGCTTGCCAGAGACGGTCGACCGGGCAGGACCAAAGGGGCGGATGGCCTCCGTGTCGACCTTGATCGTCAGATCTGTCGAAACCATGATCGGTCTGGCGCAATCAGTGTTAGTGACGTCATCTGAAGATTTCATTCGAAAGGAAGCTTTCAAACCCAGCAAAAGAGTCAATTTTTCAGATGCATTGTGTGAACATACGGATTGGACGAAACGGACGTTGTGAGGTGTAGAGTGACGTAATGTCTATTGGTCTCCTGACGACACTCGTGAGGAGGTCGAGGAGAGCGGATGAAGAGTCGATTGCGTGTCTGGGCTCAATTGAAAGAGGAAGAGAAGCCTGGAAGAAGAAATCAACAAAAAGAAAAAGAGACCGAAAGTAGACGGAAGGGCGAGGAACTTGTCTTAATATACGCTGACACGGACGGCGAGGAGGAGGCGAGGGAGGGGAAGAGCTCTTGCCATTATTACGAGAAAGGACACAAACAAATAGCTGATGTCAGAGACAGCAGTTGCTACCCACTTTGGGGAAGCTACGGAAGCCGCGACAGCTCGATGCCTTGTAGCTGGCGCACTAGCAACACGTGGTGTGTGTAAGTGACGGAAAGAGAGACCGGGCTACAAGGGCATCTGAGGAAGCTGCTTCCCTGCCAGACCGTACCAGCTTTTGCACCGCATCCAGTAAGAGGAAGAGTAGACCTAATCGGGAGCACTAGCTACTTCGTAGGCATGTATCAAACTACTTGGAGATACATGCCATCCTCAATACTGTCGCGCCCTGTTACCTGTGCTGCGTAGTTTCTTTTTCTTTATAACTTTGCTCCTGTGTGTCTCCCATGATCGCCATGGCCTTGCACCTGCGGTCCTACTTCTTGGAGTACAGCGCCTTTGTTCGTAAAACCGGCGGGCAAAAGACACTATCGCCTGGTAGTGCTCTACCCATATGAGACAGCACGTTCCAGTCGCACTCGCCAGGCACCGTCGAGATTGCGGAGTGGGCCAGGCATTGGCGACTGACAGAGACATATGCTCGCAAGAGAGCCTTAATTCATGGCCGTTAGGAGAGCTGCTCGTTCCTTCCCACCAGGGACAATGCAAGAGGAGAGCTCAGGTATGAGGATTTTGGCGCGGGCCGCTGAGTAACTGGGACAGAAAGAGGAAGGCGCAAGCCAGGCACCCGTTTCTTTCGGCGCATTCTAACGTATTTCTGGGCAGGCGCCATAAAACCGTTTCGAGCACACACATTATCTAGAAGCAAAGGATTTGAGACGGTACAAAGTGAATGTAAAGCTGAACTTTCTCCACAGAGCTCTGTCGCACACATACTGCGTGGAATATATTGCAAAGACGTTGGAGAAGGTCGAAAAGTGGGGTTTCTTACAGGGGTAAGGGGCATCATAGATTCAAGAAACTTGCATGGCTCGCGTGTGTTGGCATCAGGCGTTTACGAAAAGGAGCGAGATGGTGGGAAGAGGAGGGGCAACAAGCGGGTGGCCGGTCTTTCCGACCGTACAACATACTGTTCAGACGTCGCTCGATCTTATCAGAGTCCGTCTCCTCCACACGTTGCAGAAAGCAATCGATCAGGTTAAGGGCCTTTCTGGACGACCGGAATTGCAGTCGCGGACACAGAGACACTCGCCGCCGCAGCCCTGTTGCTCGTCTCGGGAGCAGACACGCATCGTGCACATCATTTCTTTCCGACGGAGGACCCCGGAGACCACGTCGTTTACGTATTCCGTGATCTTCCAGGCCCGTGAAATTTCGTCTTCGACTTTGTCTCTCTTCTCTTTGCATCTCTCATACTCAATGCACAGGTGTCCCACGCTCAAATTAATAGCGAAGCTCAGGCAATGCATCGTATCATGTGGTCACATTTCCAGACGGCAGTTGTCCCGTCCAGTTGTAATTCGGGAAGGACCTGGCCGAAAGAACGCTCTCGGCTGCGACCGAGAAATGGTCCTTTTGGAGCCAACTGGCCGGTCTAGACGCATGGCAGGCCTGGCAATAGGAAAGGCCGAGAAAGGAGACGATGAGATGCAGAGCAGAATGGTCCGATTAAAGCGATACGAAGTGTGGTGTCGTATGTAGGAGAGTCTGCCACTGCCAGGATAAGGGACGACAAATTAATAGGCCACGGCCCAGATGCGCGGCTGGTGTGGTGTGGTTTTACAAGTGGCCTGTCTGATGGGCCGATTGAGATGTGGTAAGTTTGGGACGCATCAGAGTGGGGGTTATGCAAGGCGACATGCAGGAGGCTGGCAGGCCAGGCACGTCTTGTGCTGGTCCAGCGCCCTCACTTTGCGTCAATGGCCAATCAGTTGGCCTCGATCGTGGCAGCTCGACGTGAGGAAGAACAAAACAACAAAGCAACGGAGAAACAAAGTGGCTGCCCGTGCCCCTGAGTAAGCCTCCGTCTCGAATGGGCGCGCCATCTCCCGCTTCCAAGGCTCTGAACGATAAGCTGTAAGACGGCACAAAAAGCAAAGCATAGAACACACAAAGATGTCAGCACAATGATGCGCCTGGGAAAGAATGGAACTTGCTGTCCGACGTACGTCGGAGCCAGGCCAATACCACAAATTTGTGAAATTGTTCGACGGCGGGGCAGCCACTAGTGAGAGTGGGTTTGGCCACCATGTCTACCAACGGCCACCCTCGCTCCGATGTTCCGTGCGCCGTACTGTTCCTGCTCCAACGTACGCCGTGCTTCTATGTTCGCAATGACACGAAAGAACATTCGTAACTCGCATCTGCCAAGCTCAGGGACCCAGATACTGGGCGGCTCACCATGTGGAGAGTATCACTGTCGCGTCTGTTAATAGTATCGGCGCTCGCGCCTTCATTTCGCCGACAGTCACCAAAGGAGCTTCTTGTGACGCAATCTATTTCGCTATCGATGCAGGCTGCGGTTTTGGACAATAGTATCTATGGATAATGTACTGGGTATGTCTCGTTCGTGTTTCGCTCCTCTGGTATTGGTCTAGTCTAGTCTTGCTTTTTGTCGCTGCTGGTTTTCCGACGGGGCAGGAACTTTTTGAGCTGCACCTTGGCCTTTTGTAGGGAACTTATTTTCTGCTTTCGAGGAGGAGCTGCAGATTTCTGGTTAGCAAGATCCTGCTTCGCATTTTGATGATAGGGACATGGTAAAATATACATTCTCCGGCCGTACGCTGTGGCTTGACGCCTTTCACATTATACTGAGGATTGGCTGCGTTCTACGCAGTTTTCTTGGCAGGCAGGCTATACTACTTCGTCTGCCCATCGCTAATTGGCGTCGATGCGCGAACCTGTACAAGAGCCTGCTGTTGAAGCGTTTTGCCATCGCTTTGGCCATCGAGGCCGCCGATTGATGGGTCTTCAGGCTCGCCTTCTTCCTGCAGGGGCGTTATGAGACGGTGTGACTCGGAATTGTTTCCTGGCGGGGCTGGTGTCGTCTCGGGAATCGTCGGCAGCAACCGGGGCTGCGGTCGTGGTGGAGCCGGAGGTACGGCCGGTGACGGTGAGCGCTCTTTCCGGAGAGAAACTCCCACATACTTTTCGACATCCGATGCTCGCACGTATGCCAGGTAGTAGGGTTCGCCTCCGTTGGACAGTTCGGCCATGACGGCATCCGTGTTTGCAAATTCCTTGACAGCCTTGTCGTTATACTTGCGCCACAGGCCCCGCTCAAAGTCGTAAATCCACACCCAGTAGTGGCCGGCTTTTCCAGTGTTTCCAGAGTGGCAGATGACCGCATGCAGTAGATACTTGTTTTGCGGCGCCTTCAGGTCGGCAAAAAGTCCTTCCAATTCCTGCTCATACTCTGCCCGTATTTGTTGCACATTGCGCATGATGTCGTTGCAATGAAGCACACTGTCCTGCTGCGCCCAGCTGTTCTGAACATCTTCTCTGGTTAGGTGGCGCGCTCCATCTAGGAGCTGTTTAGTTGCGTCGTTGCTCCATCTCTGGTCAAGGGTTGTGTCCACTTGTGTCTCTACTTCCTGGCCTTGGCCTGAAAGGACTGCTGAGAGCTCGAAAACGACGTCGTTCTCGCGCAACAGCTCTTTGACATCGTCATCGATCATATCATAATCCCCGTCATCACTGTCGAATTCGTTATCGGAAGACGCGCCTGCCCTTTCGAGGTCATCGTGGGTGTTCTTCTTCTCCGCGTGTTGGTGCAGGTGCTCGTTGACAATCATGTCAGTATACGCAGCAGCCTTACCCACGGCATCCGGTAGGAAACTAATATAAGGACTTTCGCCGTTGGGGCCCTTCAACGACCGAATCCGTTCTTGGATATTCCACGCGTGGCGACGTCTGTTAAACAGATCGGATCCCTCGTCACAGTCCATGAACTGGTCCAGATGCAGGGCCTGAGGGATGTCGACTAAACTCTTGTTTTTCGTACCATCTCCTTTAGAACGCTGAATGTGAATGTGTAAGATTGGCGGCAAGTCCACGATCGATGTGAACCGCTCGTACCAAGTGCCCTGAGTGATGAATTCGCGCTGGAAGCTGTTGCTAAGTGCCTGCAGCAAACCGATCTTCTTGTCTTCCGCAGGAAACGCTGTCACCCAGCGGTTTGGCGCAACCTGACGGTTGTAGGATCCGTTGCGGTCGGACCGGCTATACGTCGCACTTGTCCAGAAAAAGGTGTCGGTGATCGGATCACGTTGCACGCCCGTGGCGACATCTTCACCTGTCGCCTTCACGGATGCACGCAAATGGCTGATGATGTTGCCCATGACTTCTTCGACGTCCTGCTGGTCAGTTCCTTTAACGGTGGTATCCTCCAGCGCGTACTCGATGATCGATTCCACGGAGGGTTCGGCTACCGGCGGTGGATCGAACACAGTCTGGATAGCCCCAGGAACGGTCTGCTGAAGGTGGCTGTCAGAGGTTGTGAACGGTGCAGACCCGTCACTGATCATCGCTGTTTCGACCCCGGTATCACTCATCGTCACCTCGCGTGAGGCTGATGCGTTCTCATCTTCCACCTGCTCGGCGTGCACCACTATGGGCATATCGCTGGTGGCAGTATCCTCCTGAAATTCTTCCATACTATCGCTCACAGGCGGGATGCTTTGCCAACCATCGTCTGCCGTAGATACACGCCGACTTTCACGCCGGCTTTGGCCCTGGGTCTCGGCCTTGTTCTCGATCATGGTCTCACTCTGATCAACGAGTGTCTGTGAGCTCCTGATACTGGTCGAGTCGGCGTCAGATGCAAGAACGGCGGCAGCGGCTTTCGGGGATGCAGGGGAGTTGGCATGCACGGAATTATTTTGGGGGGATCCGGAAACCGCTGCCGCATGGCGACGGGGGAGTGGTGGGGCAGGCGAGTTCGTCCTTTCTGTATTCGCGAGGTCAAACGACAACGAGTGATTTTCGGCATCGACATTTTTTGTGAGTAACTGCTTTCCGTCTGATACAAGTCTGGCCGAGTTCTTCAGTGCCGCAATTGCGAGGCGCTGTGTTGGAACCTCGTACACTTTGTCCGACTGTTGCATTTTGTCGAACAATGAGGACAACTGTTCGACGACTGTGTGGTGTTGATGTTAGTACACCTCAACTTAACAAGGGTTAAAAGGTGACCTGAAGAAGGGTAACAAACATTGTCGACCGGCATACGCCTCGCCCCTTTCTAGGTGAGCAGATCCTGGGTCAATTCGGCGATTTTGAAGGCTATCCTCCGTGCCTGGTAGGCCCAACTCGTCAAAGTTGTCAAGGATCTCGTGCACTGGTTTCACCGTATTAAAATATTGCAAAATGCTGTTCAAGTAGCACGTGTTCCTAATGTTTTCCAAGCCTGTGGGCAGTGATGGATCAAAGATCAGGTCCGTATCAGACATGGCGGTAACTGTACGACTGGAGAGGTCGACAGAAGAACGGCCTTTGTCTCCATTAAGAAAGTCCTGCGCGGCTGATGCGAGAAGCGGGTCGTCGCCACGTTCTTTGCTGATCTGTCTCAGTGCTGCAGCGACGAGATCGCGGTCTTTTTCGTTGGACTAGAGGTGCAAAGCAGTTTAGTAACAAAATATGACGAACAGGTACAAATAAAATGGGCGAATAAATCAAAGAGAGAGACAGAGGGGAAAAAACACAAAAAAACTTACAGCAATATTATACTGAGCTATGCTGACCATATAACTCGCGTCTGTGTCGTTTTGCGCGCCGAGATAGTTAAGAGCTTCCTCGTATGACATATCCTCCACCGCCATTTTTTGAAGATTCGGACTTTTTGTATGACGGGCAATGAGCAGGAGCTTTTCTCGAAAGTTGGATTTCTGTGATGGGTAGGCATCTGAGTTTGACAAAAATTTGGCCAGAACTTCATCGTCGCTCCTCTGGCCTTCTTCCAGGCCAAAGTAGTTGTATGCCTGGATTACTTTGTCGGTGTTTGATAGTTGGTGCGAAACTACTGTCGTTTGGGTGTCTTGAAGAGACCGCTCGGTCGCAAGGCGGATATCGTCCTCCTCTGATCCTGCCGGCAAAGAATCCTTAGGTTGGGCTGTGCGTATCGAGTCTAAGGACTGTATGCGAAGCTCAAGGTCCTCGTTATTCCGACCTTGAGCGAGACGCTTCAAACAGAGAAAGTAGTCGTCTTTCATCCGTGGATTTGTCTGGCTCTGACACGTAAAGGCATACCAGAAGTACCTTTCGTGCATGCGAGGAAACAAGCCAAGATCTGCGTAATCCGAAATGCGATACTCATTGTAGCCATAATCTGACGTCGCAAAGTCGCCAATATCGAGCGCATTGGTGATGAAGCTGATCGCGGCATTTGGCTTCATGTTTTGACTGTCCTTGCCAATGATGGTCTCGACCTCACTTTTAACGTCCTGGTAAAATGCAAGCTGCGATCCGGGGCGGGTAGGCCGTGTGATTGCTGGGCAAGGCACCTTCCACGCCCGGCTGTCTTCGTTGATGATCTCCTCAAACCCAAGATATGTGAGCAGTTCAGCGGCTTCGGGCCCGTTGCCGAACTGAATAAAAAACTTCTTGTTTCTTTGATCAATTTTCCGTTCGATCTCTGAGCCGTCTGGGTTCTTCTCGCTCCTGCCTTCAACGATGTCCCGCAAGTAGGCTCTGAGATACGCAAGCGCATTAGGCGTGACGTTGGCGACGTCTGCGAACCGTTCGGGCTCATCCTCCACGGCTCGTTTGAGGCGATTGCGTATGCCGTCGTGGTCGGTCAAATAGTCCAGGAGATGGTCGCTGAGGCGAGGGCTCGAAATTTCTACTATGAGTTTGAACGAGCACTTTTTCGAGGAGCAGGTGTACGTGCCCCTGCCATGGAACGGGTATAACTTGATGTCGATCGGCCTCGGCGCGCTCTTCTCAGTGAGCACATGAACGAGATGGTGAAACGGGTCGGTGTTGTTGCTGTTATTGCCACGAGTGGTACCGCACGACTGATTTTGCGTCCTGTCAATATAAAATGTAAAGTGATACCGGCAATTCTGGCAGACACATGCAAGAACTTCGTAGCACACGTTCCCGTCGGCGCGGAGTAGAGGCTGGCTCGATGGCGGCTCTCCCTGAAAGCTTTGGTGTCCTTTTAGAAGAAGCTCGTGACGCATGATAGGAGGTGTGGCATCGTCATAGTAGATACCGCCTTGCTTCCTGGCTTCCTCTCGGCGAAAAGCGTCACTCGCACAGCCTACATCTTGAAAGGTAGCGCCGGCGTTGAGGCCAGCTTCGAGCTCGCCAGAAACAAAATCCTGAAGCCATCGTGGTGCCAGGCGACCTACGCGGTATCAGTTCATGAGACGTATAACCAAACAAAATAAATTTCGCTCTGCACGGCGTGTCACGCACCTGGTTGACCCAAGTCTATATGGGATGTCTCCTCAACAAGGGGAAGCGGCACGGGGCCACGAGACCGAGTCCCCGGATAGGCAGGAGGATTCATGACTGCGCGTATTAGTGTCCGTTTCTTCTTACCGCCGTGGGCCTTCCTCGCGAAGAAAACCAGCTTTGCAGTCTCTGGAAAGACCATTGTGGGAATGGAGGGAGATGGTGCTTGGCGTGGTAGAGAAGTGCGTATGGGGATCACGCAAGGAGCCGCGGTGGTACATGGTAGAGGAGAAGCAGAGTGCATTGTTTATGTTGATACATCAGGAAGGCAACGACACAGACGAGGACGCGAACAACACCAGTGAGCAAGATAAAGGACAAAAATGTGACAACGGAAGGGAACAGAACGCCATGTAGTGGGCATATCAAAGACCAAGCAGGTAGCAAACAAACAAAAGACACGACAAGTATGTGTGCCGATGACGTGGAAATCCCACGGCTGGGATATTCAGAGAACATATCTTACCTTCTGGAGGACAGGCACAAAGGGTGCTGTACACATGGGACGGGCCAAAAGGCTAGCGGGCACTGCTGCAGGCAGCCGTAAATCGCAAAAAACAACGTTTTGTTCCGCAGCGATGGTAGAGAGCGCCCGTCGCCCCTTCGGCGTGCGGGCAATTTTTTATTCGGCTGCCTGGCGAGGGTCGGATACTGCCGGCGAGCAGATACAACCGCCCCAGGTGACGGACACTGAGCTCACTTTTGTCACAAGCGGGGTGTTGCCGGACGTGCACGAGAGGTCTTGAGCCAGCGAGCCGACGGTTTGGGCTGCGCTTATGCTGCAATCGGGAAGATGACGGCTGATGTACGAAAACGACGTACGAAAACGATGCTATTGCCACGCGCCAAAGGTGGCGATCAAGCGAGGGCGGCCAGCTGCAGCAGCTTACGACAAGGGGAGTTCGGACGCCAGAGTCGCGTATGGATGAATATAGATGCCGCATGAACTGGGATATATCGTGATACACTGCCGTATGTTGGAAAAGAGATGCAGGACTGAAGCAAACGAAGGGATGTTGAGTAGCTGCCTGTTTAGTTCAATCGTCGTTGTTGGCTGGATGCACCTTCCGTGAAACTGCAATGCCGAAATTGGGCAAGAGCTGACGCAGCCTTGCTCTCACAGCTCGCTTTACCGCCTGTAGGCTGTCGCGCTTGCCTATGGGGACTACTGAGGTCGCCCGGGTCAAGCTAAATTCCCGTTACAGGGGTGCAATAAAGTTATGAGTAATCATATCACGTGTAGATATATTGCCTGTCACCTTCTGACCAATCAGCAGCCCCACAAATCATCTGGGCCCAAAACCAGACAACCGAAGTTTCCCACTGGTGATATTTCTCTCCCCCTCCGTTTCTAAAGCGAGCTTCTTTCTCTCCATCCAATCCGCCTTCCCACATCCGCCACCCCTACAAAACACGCATCTAGATCCGAGCTGCAGTGGAGCAGGCTCAGACACACCGAAAGAATGACGTCCGGCCACGGCGACGGCGACCGTGACGTTTACCGCCCGCAGGACGCCCTGTACGCTGGCGTCAAGGGCACTGCGGTGGTGGGTGGTGCCGGGCTGTTCCTGTCTGCGATCCAGAACTCGCTGCAGAAGCGCAATGTCGGTGCTTGGGGTGTTTTCACACGCACGGGTGGTGTTGTAGCGTCGTTTGGTATGTCAGGGCGTTGTTTCCGGCTCAATGAGCGTTTCTTAGGGGGACACCTTTTTAGCTAACAAATTCTCTCCGCAGCTGCGGTCGGTGGTGTTTTCGAGTTTTCGCGGACCGCTATGGCCAACTTGCGCCAAAAGAATGATGCTTACAACACAGCCGTGAGCGGTTTCCTGGCCGGTTCCGTGTTCGGCTTGTCTAGTAAGCCCCCTTTCGACATCTCTGCCACGGCCTCGATTTGTCGTCTCTCATTTTCTAACTGACTTTTGTAGCTGGCAGGATGCCACGGATAATTGGCATGGGCGCGCTCACGGCCGTTGTCCTCGGTGTATTTGACTTTACGGGTGGCAAGCTGACTGGCTGGGCCAAGGAAACGGATGAGGACCGCTTCGAGCGGAAAGAGTACCTGCGCAAGAACCGGAGGCGGCCCGGCGAGGAGACGATCGCACAGCTCGGTGACGGTCGCGGTGGCAGTAAGTTCCGCGGTACAGATAAAGAAAGGAACGGCCGATCAGCGTGGAATTACATGCTGACCTGATTGACAGTGATCCACTCGCCCAACTACGACGAGCTGCGTGCCGAGCGCCTGAAGGAGAAATATGGCTACGAGATCAAAACGGTCTCAGCTGACCCGAACGCTGCATAAACGAAGGTGAAGCGGACGAACGAGACCCGAATGAAGATGGGCCGGTGTATAGCCGTAAACCGGCGTGTTTACGGCTACACGCCGGCTAACGACCATGGCGATTCCCCAACAATCATGCACCACACAATTGATACAATCTTTCTGTGGTTTTATTTGTACATATGCAGTCCAGTGCAATGCATACGACTGATCGGCAGAGAGCAGCACGACGGTGTGCCGTGCCTTTTGTGTTGGTATGTTCACCCTGTTTCTTTCCATCGTTCGTCTTGACAACCGTCGAACACCACCCCCGAGCCAGGTTACTATGATGATATCTTAGCTTCAGAGGCTGTTTATGAACTTGTCCCTGGACAATTGTGATTATACTATTCCTAAATTACATTGTTCTTCCCTGATGTACACCTGCCCACTCTTCCTTTCTGGCACACTGTTTCTTGACCATACTTTTCCGTTCTTTTGCTGACTCTGTTGTGGCGTTGGCAGTGTCATCCATGAAATAAACAGTAAAATAAGAACCTATTTTTTTTTTTTTGAATTATGTCCTATTTTTGTCCCACGTAGAGAAAACAGTGTAATTATGTTTGTACAATCTGAAAGCCAGAAAAACGGAAGAAATTTGATACCATCCCATCATTATATGTCGCTCTTTGGAACAGAAAAGGAAATAAACACCGTCGTACGGTTCACGAAGCCCTTTTACAAAGCCTTGATCGACTGGAAAAAGGGGTTTGCCAGCAGCTTCTCGTCGGCTGCGACGAGCTCTCGAAGTTTGGCCACCATCTCTTCCTTGCTTGGGGCGCTGCTGCCGTCGCCGCCACTCGCCCGGACCTGCTCCTTCCACTGAACCAGCAGGTCCTTCAGCAGCGCGCTGCCTTGCTCGACGTCCTCTTTACTGTAGTGCGTACCCAGCAGCGAAGCCTCGTCGTGCTTGGTCGTAAAGTCCTCAAGCTCGTCGGCCTTACGCTTGGCCATGCGCACAACTTTGTCGGGGAAGCGTACCAGCTCGGCCACGTGGATGCCGAAGCTTTGGTCACAGACGCCGGGCTCAACTTTGTAGAGCAGTGTGACCTCGCGCTTCTCGTTTTCCTTATGCTTTCCTTCGCCCTGTGTCCCGCTAATATGGGCAGTGACGTGCAGGTTTGTTACTTGCGGGTACTTGTCGGCGAGCGCAGTAAGCTCGTGGAAGTGCGTGGCAAACAGGGCAAAGCAGCCAATCTCGCGCACGATGTGTTCCGAAATGGCCCAGGCCAAGCCGAAACCGTCGTACGTCGACGTACCGCGGCCTAGCTCGTCGATGATGATGAGCGATTCGGCGGTGGCCGACTTGAGAATATTGGCCGTCTCAAGCATCTCAGCCATGAACGTCGACACACCCTTGAGTTGCGAATCGCTGGCGCCGACACGTGCAAGCACCGAGTCAAATAGAGTCAGCTCGGCCTCGGCACAGGGCACGAAGCAGCCGATCTGGGCCATGAGAGCAATAACGCCGATCTGGCGAATGTATGTCGATTTGCCGCCCATGTTGGGTCCAGTAATGATCAAGAACGACGAGTCGCCGCGGTCGAGTGTCACATCGTTGGTGATAAATTGCACGTCGTCTTGCATCTCGAGACAGGGATGACGCGCTTCGCGCAGTACAGTACGACCCTCGCCGCGCGGGTGGATCGTTGGGCGCACATAGGCAATGGGGGCGTGCACGGCGCAGTGGGCCAACGACACGATCACGTCGAGGTGGCCCAACACAGCAGCCAGACGCTCGAGCACAGGGCTGTACGAGGCGGCAACGCCGACGACCTCGTTCACGAGGCTGCTTTGTGTACGGTTGTAGTTGTGTGACAGCTGGTCAAACTCGCGGCGCAGAGTCTGCAGCTGCTTCGTGGTAAAGTAGACGCCGTTCTTCTGCGTCGAGCACTCCTGGTAGTGCGAGTTGTTGCGGATGCAGCCGGCCTCGGTGCGTGTCAAACGCATGCACCAACCGTGTACCTTGTGGTTCTCCAAAAATATCTTCTTGTCGCGTTCCTGGCTGAGGTCGCGGGCAGCCTCGGCGAAAGCGCGGTCCATATCCAGGCGCAGACGATCGAGCTTCTTGCGGATGATACGCAGGCTGTCGTCGAACTCGGGCTTGATGATGAACTCGTGGTTGTCGAGTGCGTCCAGGTCCACCGTTGTCTCGACCATCTCCTGCAGCTTTGAGAGGCTATCGCAGAGCGTACGGAGCTTCGTCGTGTAGGAAGCGTCGAGTGGTACACGGTAGGCTTCGTCCATGACGCCCTCGAGGGTGCCGAGGAAGCCGGGCAGGCGGATGACGACTTGGTAAGCACGGACGACATCCTCCAGCGTCGCTTTGCCTCGCTGGAAACGTTTTGCGAGGCGGTAGAGGTCGGGCACAGCGCGCAGGTGTTCCTCCTGCATGGTCTGGCGCAGCTCGGTGTCGGTGACAAAGGCCTCGACCAGCTGCTGGCGCGTCTCAATCTCCTCCTTGTTCATCAGCGGCTGTTTGAGCCACTGTGCCAATAAACGGCCACCTAATGGTGTTTTGCAGTGGTTGAGCAGGCCAAACAGGCTCATGGTCTTGGAGCCGTCGCGTGGGCCCGGCATCAGGTTGAGGGCTTTGACGGCCGAGGCGTCGAGCTTCATGAACTGCGACAGGTCGTGCTGGTACAGTTGGTACTGTCCGAAATTGGACGGGTCGTGCAGCACGCCCAGATACCGGACCAACGCCGCAGCAGAGCCTAGGGCCAGCTTGAGCTCGGACTGCGGGAGCACCATAGACGCCCGCTCGTCCTTGAGCAGACGGGCCAGGTCCTGCTCAATGTCCTTGGTGGCGAACTCAGCCAGCGACCGCTCGGCAATGGCGATGCCACAGTTATCGATGACCTGCCTCAACTTGGCCAGCTCTGGGTCACGGCCGGCTTTGCTGCCATCTTTGTCGGGGCGATCAGCCTGCACGATACACTCGCGGACACCGAGCTGGATTAGCAGGGCCTCAAAATTGGAGTACAGGTCGTTGTCGAGGAACTCGCTGACGCCCAGCTCGCGCACGGTGGCGTCAGCAAAGCAGACACCGACAGTGCGGGCCTCGTTAGCGCGGGCAGACAGCTTGACGGCCAGGATCATAGGCGCGTTGTCGAACTGGCCCAAGTCGTCCTCGACGTCCTGCAGGTTGCCCGGCGAAGCTTGCTTGACGATTTTCCAGTTCATGCGGCCGCCGGAACTGGCGTAGATCTCGACGCGCTTGCCAAGCTTAAACAGCGCCTCACGCAGGAACTGCCGAAAGACGGTAACGGTCATAGTTACAGAGGGCAGGCCGGTGTGGTCGTTGCGGCCGAGCTGACGCACGACGGAGGTCGTCTTGTAGACTGTGCGGGCAATGAAGTTGGCATTGTCGCCATGGGCAGTGTACCAGTCACCACGGTCGAAGATGCGGATGGTGTCGTCGTCGATAACCGGGAGGGACTTGAAGTAGCGAATAAAGCCATGCTCGTCATCAACCTGGTGGTGGTGATTAGCACGGGCAGCGAAGAGGTGGCGAAGAAAAGAAGGAAAAGCAGTAGAGAAGCTGATGAATGACGAGTAGTACCTTGAGCTCCGGCCGGGAAGACATTGTGGCGGATGGAATGTGCCTGCGTGCAGAAACGAAACGGCCCACGACACCGCTGGGACTATGAAAGGTAATCGGTTCTGCTAGCACGATGCTGGGCTGGAGATGCAGTGCAGCGTAGTGGAGGTGACGATACAGGTAGATTGGATTTGCCAGGAGACGCGTCAAGAAATCCCATTAACGCGTTGGCCACGCTGAACGTGGAGGGGCGCTAGCACCAACCGGGAAGGGACCAGTGTGCTAGGATCCGGCAGGCAGGTGCGTCGTGCGACCAAGTTGGCAAGGCTTCAAGCAGTTGGATAGCCCCACTTTGCATCTCGAAAAAAAAAGAAAGAAAGGCAGACGACTCCAATTGACTTAGCAAAAGTTACTTCACATCACCAAACCACAATAGATTGTACAGACGACATGGACATCAAAGAGCCACCAGCACCGGGGCTTTTCCCAAGCGAAGGTGGCCCAGTTCAGGCCACGGCGTTGCAATTGGCCTCGGAAAACGGCGACGCACAGCTTCCTGGTCAAAATAACATGGTCGATGCATCGAGACTAACCGAGCTCGCGAGCGCAGGTGACACCGAGAATGGAGGCGAGGACGGCACTGGACCTGCGGCTGAGGGTGCTCGAACAGCATTGGCAGCCTCCGGAGCACCAGGCACAGAGACCCCGGGCACATTACTATCGAAGAACGCACAAAAGAAACTCAAGCGGCAACAAAAGTGGGAGGATATGCGAGACGACCGTAAGCGGCGGCGGAAGGAAAAGCGGGTAATCAAGGCGGAAAAGAAGAAGGCGGCCAAGGCAGCGGGCGGTGAGGGCGCAGACGGATGTGCTGCTGCACCTGCGACAGCCGCGCCCAAAGAGCACACACTGGTACCTGTCAGTCTCATCTTTGACTGTGCCTTTGAGTCCTACATGCGCGAGACGGAACAGATCTCGCTGTCGAGCCAGATCACACGCTCGTACGCGGCAAATCGCACGGCGGCGCGGTGTGCGCGAATTTACGTGAGCTCCTGGGGCGGCAAGCTACAGACGCGCTACGAGACGCTGCTGGCAAACCAGCACAAGCGATGGAACCATGTGCACTTTCTCGCTGACGACTTTGTCGCGGCTGCAAAGCAGGCTGACATGGACATGCGTGGGGAGAACGGAGGGACGGTCGTGGACGTTCTCGAAGCCAAGGAAGGAGACGAAGCGCTGAAGCGCGATGATGAGAGAGGCGAGAAAGAGGCAGGCAAGACGGCCGAGGAAAAGGAAGCGGACGAGGAGATCACTCCGTCGGACGGCCCCTCTGTCGTCTACCTCACATCTGACTCTCCCTACACGCTGACCCGGCTTGAGCCAAACACGAGCTACGTTATCGGCGGCATCGTCGACAAAAACCGCGAAAAGGGCCTCTGCTACAAACGCGCCAGGGAACATGGCGTCCGTACGGCCAAGTTGCCCATCGGCGACTACATGGTCATGGCCAGCCGAAAGGTGCTGACAACGAACCACGTTGTGGAGATCATGCTCAGTTGGCTGGAGACAGGCGACTGGGCAACAGCATTCTCCAACGTGATTCCGAAGCGCAAGGGCGGTCATTTGAAGGGTGAAAAAGGAGACACCAGCGAGAAGAGCGCGGAAGAGGGCGATGCAGGGGCCGAAGAGGAGCAAGGAGAAGATGGCAACGATGAGGAGGCCGAGGAAGGCGAGGCGAAGGAGGCCGATGACAGTGAAATGGGCATGCAGGACAACAGCGCGGCTGCAGAGCCACAAGCTACGGAGGCCACAGAGAGCGTCGCATAGAACGGAGTACCTGGATATCTAACGTACATTATACAGCACAGCACATATAAGACGAGTTTACGTCGCCACGTGACAACAATTCAAGAGGCATTTGGGACAAAATGCGGAGACGGGATATCACTGCTATATATCCGCCACAGAAGCCCTCTTGGTTGGTCGTTCGTCATCACGGCTAAAGAGGCCCTTCTATGGGCATTTATATTGATGATGAAAGACACCACCTGCGTTTGCATTTTCACATCCAAGCTGGATGCCAATCCGCTGGCAAACACTGTTGACGATACCAAACTGTCAGGATGACTCCAATAGCATCTCTTCTGTTATCAGCGGCTGGCGTCGCTGTCCTGGCAGCAGCCGCTTCGTCGCCCGTTACCACATTTGCCAACAAGGTCATCTTCACGCCACCGAGCACGTATACCGACCCTCGTGTGCTTTATCCACGTACAGTCGAATTGCGTGACGGCACCCTGCTGGCTACTTGGGAGAACTACTCGCCGGAGCCGCCGGCCGTCCACTTCCCCATCTACCAGTCCGTCGACAACGGTAGCAGTTGGTCCGAGATCTCGCATGTCACCGACCAGACGAATGGCTGGGGACTGCGATACCAGCCGTTTCTGTACGAGCTGCCGGCCGACGTTGGCCATTTCAAGGCCGGCACGGTTTTGTGCGTCGGGAACAGCATCCCAACGGACTTGAGCCGCACGCAGATTGATGTCTATGCAAGCACTGACCACGGCCATACGTGGACGTTTGTGAGCCACGTTGCCGCCGGGGGCAAGGCACATCCGGACAATGGGCAGACGCCAGTTTGGGAGCCGTTCCTCATGTAAAGAAGCGTGAATATAAAGTACCACAGTCGCATTTGTTCGATCAACTGACATCTTCACAGATACTACCGGTCCCAGATTATCCTCTACTACTCCGACCAGCGTGACCCCAAGCACGGCCAAAAGCTCGTGCACCAGACGTCGACGGACCTGCTCACGTGGGACACCACTGTCGACGATGTCGCGTACGCCGACTACAAATTGCGCCCGGGCATGTCGACCGTTGTGTTGCTGCCAAACAATCAGTACTTGCTGACGTACGAATACGGCGGCGCTCCGGGCGGCTTTCCGGTGTACTATCGTATAGCAGCCGATCCTCGAGCGTTTTCTGCGGCCAAAGAGCACCCTCTTGTTGTGGGCAGCACGCGGCCGACCAGCTCGCCGTATGCGACTTGGACTCCGTACGGCGGCATCAACGGCACCATCCTTGTCAGCGCCTACAGCCATTCTCAGGTCTTCAGCAATAGTGCACTCGGCGACAAGACCAAGTGGGAGATGCACAATGTCGCACAGCCCGCGGCATACACACGCACGCTGCGGGTGCTGCAGAACGATTCGGCAAAGGTTCTGATCATGGGTGCCGGGAAGCTACCTCCGAGCTCGACAAATGTCGTGGGCTTGAGTATCGTGGACCTAGGAAGAGTGTTAGGCCGGAAATAAATACCAAGTTGGGGTATGACACAAGAAATAAAAGCTGAAGGAGGAAACAAAAAGCATTCTTTTCAACTGAACAATGTATGGTCGCCGTGCCTTGTTTCCACAGAAGAAAGCCCAAAATCATTACATGACACTCGTAGTGCGAAACATGAGAAATAAACCAACGAAACAATGCCTTTCATAAACAAAGCCCTCAAGACGGAGGGGGGGATTCAATCAATCAAAATTCCATGCTCGTCGCCCCATCCCGCTCCCGCTTGACCCTAACGACGTCCTTCTCGTCCCGCATCAGTGCCAGCACAAATGAGCGGAACTGCTCAATGTACGGCCGCAAACTGGTCTTCTCCCAGTCTTGCAGCTTCTTCTCGTCACCATTGTTACCTTGTGACGGCTCCTCGTCGCTTCCGCTGGCACCGGTACCGTTCTGCTGGTACGAATCGATCTCCTGCAGCAGTTGCTGCACTGTCGGAACCCCAAGCGGGTCAAACTCCTCCAACCGGTCCACGTCGATCGGCACGCACACCCGTCCTGTGCCGGGGTGCACAACGAACGGACTCTTGAGCAAATGGTTGAGCTTCTTACTGACGTTGACATCCAGCCGGGGATACGTGTACTCGAGCACAATGTCCTGCTTGTTCTCCAGCAGCTGTTTCATGTCCAGCCCCTTGACGCTGCCCGTCTTGGCTACAGCGTCAATGTCGGCCCATTTAGCCGTTGACGACCGACCCGGTGACGAATCCCACTTCCGCCGCAACGCGTCCGCCAAGTTGCGGTCTGACAGCAGACCTAGCAGCTTCTCCGCGTTCTCCGCCGTAGCCCAAGGGTCCTGGTCGCGCAGCACGTCTTCCTGGAAGTGCGTGCGCAGCACATTAAGACTTCGCGACAGGTGCGGGTGCAGTGGCCGGCGTACATTGACACGCTTGCCACCCTGGCTGCCGCCGCGCAGCACTTCCAGGTAGCCAACAATGGCGCGGCGCCTCTGGTCGTCGAGTGTGCGTGCCCGCTTGTCGCAGACCCAAGCGTGCGCACCACGACGACCGGAATAGATCCACACAATGTGCTGGAATCCGAAGTCGTCGCGCAGCGCCACGTCAATGACACGCACCGCCATGGTAATGAACTGCCAGCAGCGGATGCATATTGTGGTCTTGTCGCAGCATGTCCGGATGTCGTCGTAGTCTGTCAAATCGATATCAAAGCACAGCTCCTTGGCAAGAGGCTTGAACGCCGATGCGTTGCTAAGCGCCTTGCGGTCCACTGGGTTGGTAGTGTAAACAGGTCCAATTTCGAAACGCGAGGGCAAGAGGCGGAGGACGTCCTTGCGAAGACTGCAAAGTCGCAGTTAGCCAGCGTTCAGTTCAGATTCTTGCCTTTCTTTGGTCCATCTTGTAGCGGATTTCACGTACAGGTCAGACGTCGGGAACGCCTGGTAACGGAGATACGCGTCGTTCTGAAGCGTAAACGCAAACTCGCGGTGGGCAAAATCGTTGGTCGGCGTCGGGCTGTGGTTGAGCCACTGGAAGAGGTATCGCCAGGGGAACAGGCGCTGGTAGAAGCTACGCATAACCTCTGGGTCAGACGCACGGAGAGACAATAGGTCCGATGTCGTCGCGAGCGCATCTTCGGCGGATTTGCCAGAGAACTCGTCGTCGTCCATGTCGTCAAACATATCTTCCAGGTTGACAGGCACCATGTCTGTGATGAGAGCTGCCTTCTCTGACTCCTCTGTCTTTACCACGGCTGCTGCTGGTGCGTCTTCTGTCTTGATCGCAGTGGTCGCCGCAAGAACGCCCTCTGCCGGGCCATCCTCCGTCTTGATCGCCACGGCAGCAGCTGGCACGGCACTCTCCTCGGTCATCTCCACGTCGATGTCGTCGTCGTCGTCGTCATCGCCAGCAACCCAGGGCGGACTTGAGGCCTGCTCGACCTTAACGGGCACGGCCTCATCGCCTACATTGGCATTGGCTGTTGGTGGCGACTCGGCCTCGATTGTGTTGGGGGAGGCGTTCTCGGCCATGGCAGCGTCGTCCTGAGTAGGAGAGGGTGGATCTGATACTGCGTGCGGCATTGCGAACGTGTTACAAGGCTCTTCTTGTGAAAGACTGAGTGGTGTGCAGTACGTCGTAGCTGATAGTCAAATCGGAGTTCAGTCTGGATTTTAGAATGGCAAGGCTTGGGAATAAACCAGCGCAGAAGACGCACATTGTTCCTTCCTGCTGCTTGGTGGCCATGTATTTACTAAATTTAGGGAAAGACGCGTCGACGCGTTAAGCCGTTTCGCCCCGCCAGCCAATTTGAACGAATCGCGCTGCGCTCCTTCCCAAAGTTGGGGTTCCCACACTGTCAACTACTGCCCTGCTCTCATCGGTAGGGCTTTCCTCGTCAACGACTGCAACCACCGGAAAATCCTCGGCAGCTGTTCCCAAAATGGAAGCAGCGATCTTGGCGAGCCGTTGCCACACCCTTCCGTACTAGTGCGATAAAAGTGTCATTAGCATGGGGAGGTACGTCTCTACGTAATTACATCTACTCTTCCGTACTTTGGACCATCATCATCCTCGGGTGCCCCGACGTTTATCCGCCGTCTTTGTGCCAATCGGTATCATCGCATTTCTCTTCCTGGTCACAACATATTGGAATACAGTTTTGGCTACTGCCAGGAATAGCAACACATGAATACAAATTGTCCGTCGCAGCGTCATTATATACGTCCCCCAACCTCCTCGACTGTCCACTGCCTCAAGCATCTCGACGTCCTCTTTCGTTTCGATTACCACTGTTGTCGCCGATGAACAGCCATACGCCTCGACGTTTTTTACTGATCCCCCAAAACCTTACACCAGAGACTCGTTCCATAGCTCCCAAATTGTTGAAAGCCCGGCATCTTTATCCGGCCACCGCTGCTCTTCGCTTTACGCCGACTCTTTTACTCTCCGTTCGTGTCCAACCATGGCGCCAATCCGCCTCATCATCGAGGATGGCGTCTTCAAAGACTCCGTCGGACGGCAGCTTGTGTTGCGGGGGATCAACGTCGCTGGCGACGCCAAGCTGCCGAGCGCCCCTGCGATGCCGTCACATATCGCCAAGGACTTCTTCGAAGGCGACAAGGTCACCTTTCACAAGCGGCCCTTCCCCAAGGAAGACGCACATCTGCACTTTTCGCGGTTAAAAAAGATGGGATACAACACGATACGCTATGTGTTCACCTGGGAGGCGATCGAGGCAGCTGGCCCAGGCAAGTACGACGAGGAGTGGATTCAGCACACAGTCGACATCTTGCGCATCGCAAAGGAGTACGGGTTTTACGTCTTCATGGACCCTCACCAGGACGTGGTATGTTGTGCCTTGCTGGGAAGTCTGGTCTGTTGCTGTTTGCTTGTTGCTTCCATATCTAACGAAATCAGTGGTCCCGTTTCACAGGCGGTTCTGGGGCGCCGATGTGGACGTTGTACGCCTGTGGCCTCAACCCAGAAAAATTTGGCGTCACCGAGGCCGCCATTGTGCAGAACACGTACGAAGATGTCGACAACTTCCCCAAGATGATATGGTCGACAAATTACTTCCGTCTAGCCGCCGCAACCATGTTCACGCTCTTCTTTGCTGGCCGCGACTTTGCGCCCAAGTGCATCATCGACGGCCAAAACATCCAGGACTACTTGCAGGGCCACTTCTTAGCGGCAATTGGCCATCTCGCCAAGCGCATTAAAGAGGCCGGCGACCTGGAGAATGATGTTGTCTTTGGCTGGGAGAGCCTCAACGAACCCAGCAAGGGCATGATTGGCTACCAGGACATCAGCGTCATCCCCAAGGAACAGGCCTTGAAAAAGGGCACGTCGCCGACCATCTTCCAAGCCATGCTTACTGGAATGGGTCGGTCGGTGGAGGTCGACGTGTGGGAAATGGGCGGTCTTGGCCCCGTCAAATCTGGCCGCAAGCTGGTCGACCCAGGTGGCGAGAAGGCCTGGCTGCCGGCCGACTACGACGACAGCCGCTACGGCTGGAAACGTGACCCTGGTTGGAAGCTTGGCGAATGTATCTGGGCACAGCACGGGGTGTGGGACGCGTCTTCGGAGAACGACGTTCTGCTGCGCAAGAACTATTTTGCGAAGAATCCACGCACAGGCGAAACGATCGACTACCCATGCTTCTCCGACTCGTACTTTATGGACTACTTCCGCGCCAACCGCGACATCGTACGCAAATACCACCCAGATGCCGTCATGCTGCTCCAGGGCCCCACAATGGAGCTGCCGCCGAATATCAAGGGCACAAAAGACGACGACGAACGCATGGTCTACGCGCCGCACTTTTACGACGGCATCACCCTCATGACGAAGAAGTGGAATCGCACATGGAATGTGGACGTGCTTGGCGTGCTGCGCGGTCGGTACTGGCACCCGGCTTTTGCCATCCGTGTCGGCGAGTCAGCCATCCGCAACTGCTTCCGCGACCAGCTGGCGGCCATGCGCCAAGAAGGCCTGGATCGCGTTGGCGACCATCCGTGCATCCTGACCGAATTTGGTATTCCCTATGATATGGACGACAAGCACGCCTACAAAACAGGTGACTACTCCAGTCAGTCGGCCGCCATGGATGCCAATCACTATGGCGTGGAGGGGGCGCTCATGGAGGGCTACACGCTGTGGGTGTACATGACGGAAAACGACCACCTGCGGGGTGACCAGTGGAACGGCGAAGATCTCTCGATTGTGTCACAAGATGACTCTCTGCTGCCCGTATCGCACCGGCCCAAGACGATTCCCGATCGCGCAACAGCGCCGGCTCTGCGGCGCTTGGTGACGTCATCCTCCATCGGGGCCGGCGAGGCGCCGACGTCGTCGGCGAACTTGTCAACAGCGTCGACGGACGTGCCAAACCAGGGCCAGCCGAGACGAAGTGATGTCGACCAGGACGACATGGTCAACCCGGGCAACATCAAGCGGGTGCTGACACAGCCGTCCATCTCATCGCGGCCGCCCAGCACCAATGGCAACGCCAGCAACAACGGCAACAACGGTACCACCGCCAATGATGGAAACACCAACACCGCGGGCTCGTCGAACTCGAGTCCCGAGCTTAGCAATGCGCCAGGATTTCGTGCTGCGGAGGCATACGTGCGCCCTGCACCGATTGCGACAAGCGGTGAGATTGCCGAGTACGGGTTCAACTTGCGGCAAGCCGAGTTTAATCTGAAGGTGTATGGATTGTCAGACGAGAAGCGGCTGGCAGCGGCCAAGAAGGAAGCGGCAACTTTGGCTGCAGACACCCCCGAGGGGGAAGAGGCCCGTCGCGAACGCTCTCTTGTCGGCGCCGACCTCATCAGCCTTAATTTAGCGCCTGACGGCGAGGCAGCTGGAGGTGACGACGGCAACGGCGGACTCTTGCCTCTGCCGACTGTTGTGTGGTTGCCCGAGTACCACTTCCCAGAGGACAGCATTGACGTCGAGGTCAGCGCCGGCCGCTGGGAGATCTCGTGGGACGCGGAGGAGACGGCGACGCTGCAGCGGCTGCGCTGGTGGCACCCACCCGGCACGCAAACACTCAAGATCAAGGGGCGCGTGCGCAAGTACAACGATGTCGAAGGGGCGACCGGTAGAGAGGACGGATACTACGACCAGCTCAGCAACTGGCTGGAGGGGGGCTGTAGTGTTATGTAAGGGAGCAGCCAAGTGCTTTCCGTCGCTTGTCCGGTGTGCGATGTTTTGTGTGTCCCCCGTTTATGTTCGATTCCATCACCGCATTTTGCTGTCTTGTATACTTGGCGGTCAAGAACCCGTAACGAGTTGTATATGTTATGACCTTATTTTGCTTGTGCTATTCCTTCCCAGCCATGTACGTCGTAATTGCAGCCTTAACAACATGACCACCGAATTTTATCATACCGTACCTTTCTGGATAAAATACAAACGTACCTTCGCGCACCAGAGAACACACTTCACCAAACAACACCATAATTCGACGACGCTTCGACACCTCTTCGGCTTTAATGCCTGTCCGAACGTCGACCAGCTGCCCCATGCCCCATTTATCCCTTAAACAGCCGCCAACAGTTCTCACACGCGCAAGTAGACGTCACTTTAACGAGCAGAGCATGGCTGCCCACGCTGGTTGTCTCGTCATATCGGAACACTATAGAGTCGTTCATACTCTCCCGGTGTAATACAACCCAATTCTTCTTTGTATTTCCGCCCTTTAACCCTCCCCAAGATATACTCCGTATCCGCTTCGATTTCCTGGTCGGTCAACGCCTTGCGTGCCTCCCACCCCTCACGTCTGTTCTTCGTCTACCATCTCCCCCATCTTTCACGTCTCTGTTTTGCCGGGCGCTTCGTCGGCCAGTCACATTTCAGAGTCTTCCAGACTAGGCTCTCAGTGGTGGGCTCCTCTAGCTCGACAGCCTTTGTGGTCGTGATTCCTGCAGTGGCCTGCAGGACGCTAGCGCAGCCAGCGCAGCACTGCAGAGGAGAGGAGCCGTGTCGCTCTGAAGCGTCCTCAAATGCGCACACATTCGTCGCAATTGTTCCTGCAAGCAAATCTATTTCTAGTGCCTTTGATGTCGTATAGCACTCCGTTTGGGATTCGTGCAGCATCTTGAATGTAGCAGAAAGCGGCCGTCTTGCACGGAGAAGGCGCAACCACGGAGAAGGCGCAACCACGGAGAAGGCGCAACCTGCGAGACGTTCTCTGTAAATACCGAAAGGCGGCGCATGCATGTCGCACCGTCCTCGAGACACCCCAGCAGCACCGTAACCAGAAGCTGACGTTGCACATCGTGTTTCTCTTTGTACCCGGACTCAGGGCAGACTTGGTAGCCAGCACGCTGCGTCCGTGGGGGCTGTCCAACACGGCACCATACTCCGCACGTTGTAAGGCCACTTGTAGTCGTAAGATATTTTGGTATCATATGTGTTCAGTGCGTGAAACCTCGCTGGCTCGCTGGCTCTATATCGTACTATGTGCGAGACAATTGGGACAGTGCTCTTCTCATCGCTGATTGGTTCCGGTGCGGAAATGGCGTCGCTCCTTCTCTTTCAAGTTCCCTTTTGTGCACTAGGGCCAGTTCTACTGATGTCTCACCACCGCTCCTGCCACGCGGCACTGCTTGCTGTTGTTTGTTTGTCGCATTTGTCGACCGCTCTTTCCATACTATAATACGAACCGCCAGGTAATTACTTATTTACATGCGAGTCTAGCAAAACGTTCAGGGCACTACAAGGGATCTACTGCGGAGGAATAGCGCACGCTGTAGGGCGAGCCAGGGCGCCCAGACCAGGCCACAACGGTCCAATCGGCGCCTCCATACGCTCTAGAAATCCACTCCAACCACCGGCAGCCACCGATCGCTCGCCAGCCGCTCCTTGCTCTACTCCACCTTTGTCGCCCGCCTTCCGCCACACCCCCTGTTGTTTTCTTGTTTCGACTTTCCTGGTCGGGCAGAGCTGTGCGTACATGCGCCATTGTTCTTTCTTCACAGGCGTGCCCTGCGCAACTCTCTCGCTTCCCGTGTGCACCCAGTAGGTCCTTTGTTGCTTCCCGTTCCCATCCAGGAATGCGTCGTGCTTTTCTCACTCCCTCGTACCTGCTCTTCATTCAATACTGTTGGTCGCTCCTGCTCATCCTAGCCGCCACGTTGAGTTGCTCGCCAAATCAACCCCTTTCACTGATTTCTCGGCCCCTTTTCGACGTATTTTCTTTGATCTCGAAACGACCACAACGGTTTCTTTGTCAAGCTCCCTCTCTTGACGTTTAATTACCCCCGTCCCCCAACCCCCAAAACCATGCTACCCCGTCCGTTGATCCCCTCGTGATCCAGTGCACCCCGTCGCACTACTACGGGGAACAAGCGCTGACCGACTGCCGAGTTTTGAAACGTGCGCCTTTTGCGACTTGCTGCGACTTCTCTCTCTTCAGCCTCTCTTCAGGAGGAAAAAAGACGCTCCAGACGACAAAAGCTGAGAGGCAACAGGCGAAGAGGCTGAAGGGCAACAATCCACAGGGTACACACGACAAACGACCCTACCCCGTCTAGCATACTCCATCTCTCTCCTACAAAACCAACCTAGCCGGTTTCCACGGCGCATGCTTGACACCTCTTTCGCCGCCAAGGCCATCTGCGACATCGCCAACAAGAAAAGGACCCGTCCCCCTACTGCTGTGATGAGAGTTCATATCCGACAGACAGTTGAAGCAACATTAGCGACGACGGCATTTTGATCGCAACGACATCGGTATCCCGCAAGCGGCCCGCTGCTTCGCCTCGAAGCTTGCCGGTGCCCCATCTCTCATCTCTCGCGCCCCTCCTGTCGCCCTCGTCTTCGACCTCGACCTCTCCCCTCCTGCTCCCATCACTTTGCCTCTCGTGAGGAATTCCTCTGCCCGCCATGTATCAAGGCGGCGGACAGCGGGACCCTTCGCGGCCCTACCAGGTGCCGCCACCTCCCCCACCCATGTCGCCGCCGATGGTTCAGCTCGGCAACGGCATGAGCCTCCCTCCGCCTCCTCCTCCTCCGTTACGATATCCTAGCACATCCGGCGGTGTCCTGGGTCCTGGAAACCTACCACCACCACCGTCTGGTCCTCCGCCGGGCAGTGCTCTTGGCCAGCAGGCGCCTTGGCACGGAACGTGGGGTGGCCGTGTGTACGACGCGCGCGGCGCCTTCCCGCCACCGCCGCCACCCCTGATACCCGGAGTAAACCCGAACGCTGCCGCGAGTCAACAACACCAGGCATATAACCCGAAGATGCACGCTGCCGTTGGCGCCGCACCAGGCCAGACTGTCAACCTCCCGCCGCCACCGCCACAAAATGAGCAGATGTCAGCTACATACATTCCCGGCATTGACACGTACGGTGAAGGCGTGGGCATTCCCGGCTTTGGCGGCGCGGTCGACAGCATGACTCCATATTCGGCCAATGCACCGTTTATGCAGTGGAACCAGGCACCACCTGGCACCTTTCCAGGAAATGATCCCAACAACAACGGCAACAGCCATATGAACAACACCGGCAGCGGTGGCGGCGGCAGCAATAATGGCCCTGGTGGCTCTAATGTGCCGGGTGGCAGCCAAGTGGGCACCCCTATGGACGAACAGCCCGGCCGCCTGAATCCTGGTGCTGGCATTGGTGCAAACAATCAGGGTGTGTCTATGACGAGCAACGCATCAAGCTCCCGCGGCATACCGCCGGAGATGGCAGCGCAGTGGCCTTTGGAGCGTGTTCTGTCCTGGCTGCAGTCCCACCAGTTCCCCAAGGATTGGCAGGAGGCTTTCAAAAACCTGGAGCTGAGCGGCACACCCTTTCTCGAACTAGGTAGCGCTCATGGTGGCCGCGGCAACTTCAGTTTGATGCATCAGCAAGTGTACCCGGCTCTCAAGCAGCTCTGGATCGAGAGAACCGGGATGCCTGGCGACAAATGGGACCCATCCAAGGACCGTGAGGAAGGTCGCCGCATGCGCCACCTCATTCGGAGCATCGTCAGTGGGCGTCCTACCGACGCTTCCAAATTCCCAACACACGCTCGGAAGGAGTCCAACCCGACAAACGCCAGCCACAACCTGCCAAGCGCAGGTGCCGAAAGTGATTCGCCAAACGTGAGCTCTACTGTCCTTTCTTTTATTTTGTGAGACATATTTGTAGAAATAGACTAACAACGACCTCGTTACCAGACTCCAATCAAGGCCCCTGGCCCTGGATTCTCGTCCCGGCGCATATCTTCTCAGAATTTGCATGGTGCTCAAAATTTGCCACCGATGCTGAACAGCGCCGGCAGTGGGCCGTCTCCCGGTGCGGGAAGCAGTGCAGGAGGCACTTCGGCAGACGCCAACCACCGCGCCGTATTCAAAAACCTTGATGTCGACAACGGCCGCCGCCATAGCCCAAATACAAGCGACGTCGGGCTCGGAAGGGATAGCCCTGCCGGTAGCCCGGTCCCAGGATCAAGCAACCTTTATGCGGTCAACACACCCAGCCTTTCCGCTTCACCACACCAGTCCCGCTTTGGCCACCGCTCACGAAACAGCACCGATTCCATGTCATCCAATGCAGCCATCTATGGATCTGGTCTACCTGTCGAAGCTAATCAAATGCTGCGACAGGGCATGAACATTGGCGAGATGATCGGTGCAAGCAACACTAACACAGGAGCCGGTGCTAATGCTCGGCCGTCGTCGCACGACTCCGGCGACCGGTCTGCTGGTACTGACCCACCGAACAGTGCCAAAGATGCCAAATCGCTGCGTTCGTTTTGGAACCGAAAGAAGAAACCCAAGGACGACAACTCGTTCCCCTCTCCCGATGGCCTCGAATCGCCGACGAGCCCGGTCGTCACAAACAAGTCCTCGTCCACTCTCGGCAGTCGTGCTGGCAATGCTAGTGACCTGTCTCTCGATCGCCCCAGCTCGAGCTTTGCGACCAGCCATGACTTCAGCGGATCTAACACCGGCTCCTCGTCCCAGTACAGCAAGCCATCATCTTCCTTTTCGTCTGCCGCTTCATCACGTGTGTACATCCTTGCTACGGCTGATTATTGGAACTACCGCATGGTGGATGTGACAGATGTCGCCAACCCGGCCGAGCTTCGGCAGTTGATCTGCATGAACCTAGGTCTACCAGAAGGTGATGGGGCCACTTTGTTTTTGACCGATCTGGGCCAGTTCAATCACGATGCGCCGCTGGATGATGCGAAGCTGGCAGCGATCAAGATGTTCAAGGCTGACGGTGCTGGTGCAACAAAAATTTTCGTACGGCCACGAAACATTGCACTGTCGCAACCCCAGCTCTCACCTGCCTATGCTGCCCATGGTGCCTCCATCGATATGGATGCATATGACGCTCTAAACGGCGTTTCAAGGCCGAGATCTAGTTCATCTCCGCCGACGTCAAGACAGAACAGCACGTCTGTGTCGATTGACCAAGCGCTGCCTATCAACGGCGGTGCGGGCGGGGACCCAAGCAAGGCACAAACTAGAACCGATGCCGCTGCCAACCAGTACCGTGCGGAAATTGAGCGAAAAGGACAAGCATATCTTGCCAAACGCCGACAGGCGAACGGCAACGTTTCAGCCACGCCCGTTCAGGAGAACGCACCTTACGGCGGAATTGTTGGTAGGAACGTGGATTTTGATCAGCCACGCGTGTCGCCTTTTGAGGATAAGAACCCCGACAAGCTTTTGCCTCAGCGCCGTGCACCAGCACCACCTGGCGACCCATCTGCAACGCTCATCAAGGCAAACTCGCTTAGCAAACGGTCCGGCGACCGTATGCGTCTGTCGCAAGGCAGCATCGATGGCTACCCCAGCAACAAGCGGCCTGCCCTGCCGACAACAAACGAATCGCCACAAGAAATGTCTGACAAGGCCGGCCGGAACCGGTCCTCGCCTGGCACTGTTGGCGGCAATGGTGCTAGCAACAACGGCGACTCTGGCAATGGCGGCCTTCAGCCGATGGGCGCAGTAGCAAGTGCCATTATTGGTATGGGTCGAGGCCTCGGCGGATTAGGACATCCGTCTCGTGGTGTTTCACCTAACCGCGTAGCGTCCGCGCCGTTGAATACAAATATGAGCAGCAACTATACCCACACTGAGCCGCTCCGAGGTATACACTCTCACCCATCCCCCAACGAAAGAGTGCAAAAGTCAGATTTTAACTCCCTTCTAGGTTTCAGGATGCCAGCACGCGCACCTTCTCCGGGCGGTTTAAGCCCAAGCTCCCGACCCAGTGCGAACTTTGCACGCCTGCCATCAGGCTCCTCACATTTCCAGCAAAAACCACGACCAGATCTAGATTTCCGCAACAACGATCCCAACTTTCCTCGCGGAGGCGGCCCACCTCGTATTGGTATGCCTGCAGCTCTGACAAACCCGACGCGACTGTCTGTATCTAACGACGACTCCGACGACGATTCCGATGACGGCCTATTTGCTGTGCCCCTTGCTTCCCGTGCGCCAACTACCAGTAGCAGCAGCAACAGCACCAGCATGACTAAGAGCGATGTCGAGGCAGCTGTAGCGGCGGCAGCGGCGACAACGTCGTCCAAGGCTGCTGCCGCCGCTGCTGCGGCAAACGGAGGCGAACCAGACTCTAGCAGTGGCAACGGCAGACGGCCGAACCTGACTGTGGAGACGAAGCGGCCCCGTAAGACGCTGTCTGTAGCATTTACATCTCCTGTTTCTGCATCGACCGGCGGCAACCCTCCTGGCGATAACAACGGCAGCATGAACAACCGGAGCGCTGGTAGCAGTTCGCGGATGTCCGATCACACAAGCGATGACGGCAGCTCAAGCCGACGGACTCCAGGTACTCCCGACTCTAGCAACGATTGGAAGTCCACATCTTCGGCGACGGACGATGGCAAGCTGAGCCGGCGCAAGTCATTTGTGGAGCGAGATGTCTGGGCGAACCGTCCCCCAACTGATGCGCTGATCAACAATCTGGAGGACTTCTTCCCTAATCTCGATGTCGATCAGCCAGTGCTAGAGGAAGGGCCAGAGCCCGAGTTCTCAACGTCGCCGATTGCTGAAGTGCCCGAATCGGATGAGTCCTTGTCTGCCGGTGGAAGAAACCGTGCTGGTAGCTCTGGCATGGCCGTCAATATGAACAATGGTCTGGGTGGCAGCATGAGTGCAGGCGCCGGCCCCAGTTCTGCATTCGGTCCTGGTCGCAGCCCTGGTTCAGACGCACGGTCGCCTGCCGAAGCCGTCGTGGCCGCTGTAGCTGCAGCCAAGGCCGCCAAGGCATCTTCCGGTGGTACAGGCACCACTTCGTCGTCTATATACAATGAAAACGACACACTTGGATCCGACGAGTCGACACTCAAGGCCCTTGATCGGCCGTCTTCCATCTCATCCGTCGCACAGCGCAGTCTTCGGCGGTCTGGTGGACTGGGCCGTATGAAGTCCATCCGTGAAGTGGCACGGGGCGCACATGAGGCCAACAAGCGGTACACTCAGACGCAGCTGGCACAGCACCAGCAGCAACACCAGCAAGTCCAACAGCAGCCACCTCCTCAACCTGGCGCGCCCGGTATCCCACGGCGTGTTCCAGTCAGCCAAGCCGCGATTGTGCGGCGCAAGTCAACCAAGATGTTTGGTGCCAGCATTGTGCAGGTGCGGCCTGACCGTGAGCAAGGATCGATTGTAGTCCCACAACTGCCACCCCTGCACGGCCAGGGCGATGCCAGCGGCAGTGGCAGCGGTGGCAACACAGACAACAACGGTATTCCCAAGCGACAGACGACGTTCCGCTGGTTCAAGGGTCAGCTGATCGGCAAGGGCACGTTTGGCCGTGTGTACCTGGGCATGAACGCGACGACGGGCGAGTTCTTGGCAGTGAAAGAGGTAGAGGTACCACCGAAGCTGGTGGCTCAAAACGACAAGAACCGGGTGCGCGAGTTAGTGGCGTCGCTGAACCAGGAGATTGAGACCATGCAGCACTTGGACCACGTGAACATTGTGCAGTACTTGGGCTGCGAACGCAAGGAGACCAGCATCAGCATCTTCCTCGAGTACATTTCTGGTGGCAGTATCGGCTCCTGTTTACGGCGGCACGGCAAGTTCGAGGAGCCCGTGGTGGCAAGCCTGACTCGCCAGACTCTGTCCGGCCTAGCGTACTTGCACCGGGAGGGCATTCTACACCGCGACCTGAAGGCCGACAACATCCTGCTTGACGTGGACGGGACGGCCAAGATCAGCGACTTTGGAATCAGCAAGAAGACCGACAACATTTACGGCAACGACCGGACCAACTCGATGCAGGGCAGCGTGTTCTGGATGGCGCCGGAGGTGATCCGGCCACAGGATGAGGGCTACTCGGCCAAGGTGGACATTTGGGCCGTGGGCTGCGTCGTGCTCGAGATGTTTGCGGGGCGGCGGCCTTGGTCGCAGGAGGAGACAGTGGGCGCGATCTACAAGATTGCGCAAGGCGAGACGCCGCCGATCCCGCAGGACGTGCGGGAGACGATCAGCCCGTATGCGATTGCGTTCATGCTGGACTGCTTCACGGTCAACCCGATGGAGCGCCCGACGGCAAGCCGCCTGCTGTCACAGCACCCGTTCTGCAACCTTGACCCTGACTATGACTTTGCAGAGACGGCGTTGTACGCCAAGATCCGGGACACGTTCAAGACAACGTAGTCGCATGACGGTGATGGCTGGCCGCGTAGTGTCTTGTACGGCGTATTTACTTTGTTTGGGTTCGCAATGTGTTTCTCTGTCGCCGTGCTTCTAGTCGTGTTATCTAAGTTTCCTGGCTGAGACACGCATGGCCTTTCCTTGGATGTATTTATATAGTATTGGGCAAAGCGTGTAGATGGCGCTTGGGAATGTAATGTGATCCTTTCGTTGAAAATGTGTCGCGTCTAATTGGCATTTAGTCCATATCCTCAGCAGTGCCGAAAGGCGCAGATTCTTTAAACCCTAAGCGAATGCGCCCCCATCTTGAGAGCAACCCTGCCTGTCTTTCATCCCTCAGAGATCGTGTCTCACTTGATCAACCTTGTAGTTTTGCCAGGATAATCGCTGTCTTTTACCGGCAGACCTATTCGATAGTCAATGTCGTTTTCCAAGATCTAGTTTCTGGCCAGGCCTTGTCATGCGGTCCACGAAAACTGGCACTTTTCTCACCAGACTCGAATTCTCACTCAGCATTTGACATTGTACGACAAACACACTGCTGCATTTCTGGTGGACTTCAGGCACCCAGTTGCTCGTGTTGGCATCAAGCGCTGTCCTCCATGCTCCTATTTGCATACGAGATATATTTTGTGCTCTGTCAATCGCCCTCTCAACTGCCGCAAAGTGGAATGTTCTGTCGTGTTGGCCACGCTCGTTGTTCTCTTTTTTAGGTGGCCATCCTTCTCGCGGCAAAATCGTGGTCAACATTGCTCCAGCCAAGACTCCATTTCTTGTCTGGCTAATCAAAGGAGAATAAAAAACACATTGTCTTGGCATATTGTTTCTCACCCCGTAGCTACCTATCCCTGCCGTTCCGCTTCCCAAAAAGCGGCTGCACTGTCAAAGACACAAATTCAAGCAATTTTATCTGGTTTCGGTCGCGCATGGGGACAATTCGAAGAAACAGTCGCAAATACAAACATAGAGGGCCCCTACAATTGAGTCGAGTCAAGAGCCACTTATTTTTGTTTACCCACAGCGGTTTTCATGCGTGCTTCTCGTCTCCTCTACATAGCCAAAGCGGCCCGTTTCCTCTCGGTTGTCGATGCCATGTCCAATCGTCACAGAGGCCAAGAGGTGGCATCGCGCAGCTACGCGCAAAGCTCTATTTTGTTGCAATCCCTCAACCTTTGTCTCAACAACCGTTCGCCGTTCGAACCCTTTTCTCCGCAGAGGCTTTCTTCACTTTCTTTCCCCTGGTCATGGTCAGCGTTCCAGCGCACTCCTACCCCTGGCCATGTTTTCTTGTTTCCAGGGCTGACCAGTCCTGGTCTGGTCTAGCCGCCAATTGCATCCCTTTTAGTTTCCTACCAAGCTGGGTCCTTCTCACCTCTCCTCTCTAAAAATAACAAAGGGCGAAATAACCTTTTTTCTGTTTCTTGGCCCTCATGTATTAGCACGTCGCGGGCTCATGTACAACATACATTGGGAGTCTAAACCAGTCGATGGGCTCCGGATGTTGTGTGCCAAGAGCGACACGGATCGGACAAAGTGGTCTCTGTCGATTTTCAAAGCATCAGCCTCTTCAGTCGCCGCGGAATGCCAAGTGTGTCGAACATATGTTGTATATGTCAGCGTACTCCGTAGTCGTGTCGCTTCGTGCGGTCTTGGAGAGCATTGGAAATTGACGTCTTTAGTATTATCGTATTTCCCGTTTGGGCCGTCACTTGTTTGACCACATTCCGCCACAAAAAAAGAACCCCCAGAATAATAAAACAAAAGAATGGCTCCAAACGTAACAAAAGCCAGGTGATGCCAGCGTGTTATGAGGCTTGCTGTTCTTTCTAGTGATTAGAAAATACCGGAGTATCGTACAACATACTTGTAAACAGCGGCGAGCCGTATCTTGCAGGGGAAGGCGCGCCGTTTAACGCGACGGCGTGGGAAAAGACAGAAGTCTTGGCATTCGCCTCCTCTGCTCGCCCCGCAACTGGATAGATCGTAAGGAAGGGGCCACCCGTAAGAAAATGAGGAAGGAATAAAACAGTATTGTCTTGGCAGACAAGCCCAGTCCAGCCAGCCCAGGAAGAGAAAGAGAGACCAAGAAGACACGATCGCAACTGCCATCCTCGACACTTCCTTCCCCCCAATCCTAACACAAGCCTCCAGCCCGGCTTGGTCCTTCTTCTTTGGCATTTCCCTGTCCCTGTGTCGGCCCCGAGTCTCTCCTTCCTCGTCTTTCTTCTCATCTTTATACTCCGCTCGCGACTGCACACACGACGACCACCGTTCCGTTCCTTCCATTACTGGTCCTTCAACAGCCTCTTCCTTTTCTCTTCGCGCCAACTTGGTCCTTCCCACCCGATCTCAGTGAAGCTCGCGCCTTCCCCGACAGCCAGCCACATCTTGCAGTAATCGCCGTCTAACGCTTGTCCTTTTCTTCGTCTTTCCTCCTTTGCTTTCCTTTCCTTTCTTCTTCACGCTTCACGTCTTTCTCTGCTACCGTCGCTGCCATATCCTTTTCACGACATATCACGACATATCACGACGTTTCAATACCCCCTACCGGCTACAGTCTGATCTGCATTCAGTCCCCGTGTACGGCATACATACAACACACAAACGGTAAAACGGCTTCACACCAACGCCCTCCCGAACTTTGTTCCTCTTATTCTTATTCTACCTGTTCGGATACCCAGTACGGAGTACACCCTCTCTATTCGAGCCATTTCCCCTTGCCCTCACCCCAGGTTCTCCACCTCCCGTCAAATATACGTCCAATATGCCGCACCACAACCGCCGGTAACCTCAAATAAGAGAAATACAAGCCGAATAGCAGACAACTCTCCCAGACAAGTACCTGCTTGTACGACACGGTTGACTTTCATTACTTTCTCGTTTCCACAGCCGTACCGTACGGCATCTTTTCTGGCTCAATGACAGTCGGGTTCGCTCTCATCGACTCATCCGACTCACTCAAGTGAACCTCTCTTACTGCACATCGAGGTTACGAAGTACGCAGTATTCTGTGAATTACGTCTGAGAGCCGTATTCCGAACGGGCACCAGTTATTCACAACACAGCTCCACAGCACCCGCTCAGGGGTCTGTTCCATTACCACCCCTCCCGCCGAAGGAACTGTCGCCAACATCGACCACCGCGCACGCGACCACCCTCAAGCGCAAGAATCGAGTTTCGAAGTTCACCCGTCCCAGCCGCGCATCAACTGCCAAGCAGTCTGCACTGGAGACAACGGTACGTGCCCATTCGATTGGATACGCGAATGACGTTGTGACTTCTTAAAGGGCCTGCCGATAGTTGTGCATTGGGCTTGGATAATCCCAAATCTTGGAGTCTTCTCTTTTGGGCCTCGCCAACTTTCTCAACAGAGTACGTTTTGTATTGTGCCCGGTCAACGTCTAGCGCCCTCGCTTTGAGGCCGCCCCCAGTTCACAGCAGCCATGGCATTCCTGCGATTCAGAAGGTACCGCGTGTATATCTTTGCCGCCGTCTTCTTCCTCTTTCTCGTATTTCGCCTATCGAGCAACTCTCAGTTAAACGCCCATCATACCACGATCTACAAGGGCTACTCAGCTCCGCCCGATGGCGAGTCAAGTGCGGGACGCGGCAGCAGCAGCAGCAGCAGTCATGACAGTGCAAGCGGCAATTTCGGCGCGGGCACCCCTGCTCAAGATGCTCCTCCTTCCCTGGGGTCACCAGACGTGAGTGCTCCGAAAGTGCCCGCTGAAAAGGAACCCGAGAAGGTGGCTGCGTCCGCACCGCAGTCAATGCACATTCCTCAATTGCACACGAGCCTCGAGATCAAGGGCTCTTACGGCCTGCCTACGGGTCCTCGGTCGCAAAAACCGACCGCCCCACAACAAACGGACGCGGCAGCTTCCGCACCGAAGGAGGATGGTGCTTTCGACTCCAACCGTGTTCACCAAGTGGATCCCCCAGCTACCCATCAGGAAACCGCTGTCCCGGTCGTCGCAGACGCCACTGCCAAGGCAAGGCCTATTCTCTCAACAAGCGTCATTCACTGGATGAAGATGGCCGAGCACTTCCCCATCCCCGAAGAATCTCTCATTCTGCTTCCCACTGGCTCACCAATGCCTATCCCCAAGATCCAGCACAAGTTTGCAGCTGAACCCGACGCCACCCGTGAGATCCGTGAATCACGCCTCGCTTCGGTGCGCGGCGAGATGCAGCATGCGTGGTCCGGCTACCGCACCTATGCTTGGACCCACGACGAGCTTGCTCCCGTCAGCAAGGGTTTCCGCGATCCATTTTGCGGTTGGGCTGCGTCTCTCGTCGATGCTCTGGACACACTGTGGATCATGGGAATGCACGATGAGTTTGACGAGGCATACGAGGCCGTCAAGGATATTGATTTCACCACCACTCCGTTCCGCAGCGAGATCCCCGTCTTCGAGACCATCATCCGCTACCTAGGCGGTCTCATTGCCGCGTACGACGTTTCGGGAGGTGAAAAGGGCAAATACCCTGCTCTCCTGTCCAAGGCGGTGGAACTGGCCGAAATCCTCATGGGTGTCTTCGACACCCCCAACCGAATGCCAATTCTTTACTACCATTGGAAGCCTGCCTTCTACTCCCAGCCCAAGACTGCGTCCAGCAGTGTCAGTGTGGCCGAGCTCGGTTCCATGAGCATGGAGTTCACACGCCTGGCCCAACTGACTGGCCACAGCAAGTACTATGACGCCATTGCCCGCATCACCGACGCCTTTGAAGATTGGCAAAACCGCGTCAACGGAACCGCCATAGCCGGTATCTTCCCTGAGCATGTTGATGCATCCGGTTGCAACAGGACAGCTGCCGCTATACAGGAGGCAGAGAATGCAAGCAAACTAGCAAAGGCCCAGGTGGCTGCTGCCAACGATATTGAGACCGAACCGGTAGGCTACAAACCAAGCCAACCGAATTCTGATCCTATGGTGGCCCAGGACAAGGTGGCGATTGCAAAGACGATGCCTCCGGATCTTGAATTCCGCGTCAACTCAGCCACGAAGCCAGGTGAGCCGGCGACCGGCGAGTTTCGCAAGGTCGACGACGTCGCCTCCGCATCAGTTGGTAAACGTGACGTGGGCGACGCGGTGTCCAAGGGGGCCGCCCCCAACGACGCTACGGCACGAGTCGCTGTCGCGCCTGACGAGGGCAAAACGCCACCCGGTTCCAAAATAATGGCTGGTTCCGACGTGCAGCATGCCAATAAACCGGTGTCGGCCCCTATCGCTGCAAATGGCAAGGTCGCCAAATTCGATTGCATCCCACAAAACCTGACGGCTGGAGGTTATGGCATGCAAACATACAGCATGGGTGGAAGCCAAGATTCCACCTACGAGTACTTTCCAAAGGTAAGTTTTATAATGAGGCGAGAATTGTTGAATTGTTTATTTTTTCTTTTTTTTTTGTTCGGGAGGTGGGATGCCGTCACGAACAATCCTGCTAACACAATGAGCAATACATTTTACTCGGTGGCCTCGTTCCCAAATACCAGGCCATGCACGAAAAGGTGGTCGATGCAGTCAAGAAATATCTGCTTTACCGTCCGTTAATAAAGGACGACCGGGACATCCTGTTCTCGGCAAAGGTGTCTAGTCGGGACGGCACAGACAAAGACATGACCTACAACTACGAAATCACACATTTGACCTGCTTCCTCGGAGGCATGTTTGCCATGGGCGGCCGTATCTTCAACCGGCCGGAGGATGTCAAGATTGGCGGCAAGCTGGCCGACGGCTGCGCCTGGGCATATGAAGCGATGCCTATGGGAATCATGCCCGAAGGCTCGATCATAACTCCGTGCGCAAACATGACGAACTGCTCGTGGAACCAAAGTACCTGGTACGAAAAGCTTGACCCCAACATTGCCTGGCGAACCAAGCAGATGCTCGATTACGAAGAGCGTATGAAAACGTGGGCCAAAGAGAGCGACGAGATCAAGGAGTTGCAACGAGCGCGCGCCGAGGAGCTTGAGCGTGAGCGACAGGCTACTCTGGAAGAAGCGTTGGCCAACGAACCGTCATCGCCGGCGGATGCAGTAGGACTTGCGCCCGGCCCCGAAACACCTGTTGGCACCGCCAACATTGGCAAGCGCGCAGTTGGCGGGGCCGACAAGACACCGGTTACGGCGGCAGATGCAGTGGCCATCAACGAAAAGGAAAAGGTACTTCAGGGTGATCTAGACCTTAACGCTGATGCTGCCGCCGTGCCAAAGGCGGCAGCCCCTGCCAAAAAACCGCTTCCCGAACTAGTCATCCCGCCCATGCCTGTACGCCCTGAAACACACGAGGAGTTCGTTCAGAATCGCATTGAGCGTGACAATCTCGTCCCTGGCTTTATCAGCATGAACGACAGGCGATACATTCTTCGGCCCGAGGCAATCGAGTCGGTGTGGTACATGTACCGCATTACGGGCGACTCGTCGTGGCAGGAGAAGGGCTGGCGCATGTTCCAAGCTGTGATTCACGCCACGCGGACGGAGTACGGTCACAGCGCCATCGCCGACGTCTTAAGAGATCCCAAGGACGAACCGGTTCAGGTCGACAATATGGAGAGTTTCTGGTTCGCCGAGACGCTCAAGTACTTTTATCTGTTGTTCACCACGCCCGATGTCATCAGCCTGGACGATTACGTCCTGAACACCGAGGCGCACCCTTTCAAGCGACCGACATAAACAGCCACCAGTAGTTGACGACCATTGCACTGGTGGATGGTCTACCGGGGGTGTGTCATACGTGGGCGGAAGAGACGAGTAAGCATGTGGTGGTTTACACAATACCCAGTTGAGAGGAGGATCGATGAAAGGGAAAAAGGCGAAGGGAAAGCTCGCTTGGAGTAGCGACCACCGATACGTTTCTGCATTGTTTGTTGGTTGGGCCTTTGCCTGTGTATTTCTTATTGGTTAGGGCGGGTTTTTGCTTGGGTTATTACACCACCGAACCATTATCAATAGGCGTAAGGAGAATTATTTTGGTATAGAAATGACAGCCAGGTTATGTTATAAATATTATCTTTAATCCCGGAACAAAAACAAAGGTTGAACGTCTCCGCTTTTCAGTAACTGTAAAACATGATTTATTTTCTCCATTTCTCATTTTTATTTGTTGAGAAAACGTAAGAATTAAATTAAAAGCAAGAAGAAGAAGCAGAAAAACGGATATGGAAAACAGCCATGTTATATATATATATATATATATGTATATATTTTAAAAAAAACGACGAAAGGAAGGAGAAAACACAATCCGAAAGCGTTTGTGGCTTGAAAATGGCTGCGATCGGTTGATTATACAAAGTTGTTTACATTACCCTGGCGACTTGGCCACAACGCATAACCGTTTAAATAAGTAGCGATAATATCAGGTACGTGACCACCCAGGATCGTAATCTGTCCCTTTAAAGCAAGCAGACGTTTGCTTACATTCACTTGGCAGTATATCAAGTCACTACGATCGAAAAGATGCAGTATAACATGTCATTATTAATGATTATAAGCAAACAATGGTGATAATCGGTGTCGAGTTGCATTCCTATCTAAATATTCCATTTCACTATTATTCCTGTCACTTCTCCCTCGGGTCTCCCGTGCTTCGGATGATTTACATGCTAGACCCAAAATGCCGTCGTGTTTTATTATTATTCACTTGGCGAACCATTCATTTTCAGCCAGTCTTATGACTGGTAGTAGGAAACAGGGGGCTAAAAAAAATCGCTCTCGTTCGTGCAAACGCCAAAGTAAACAAAAACATATAACCGTCGCAAAAATAGACAAGCACAAAATCAAAACAGAACATATTGAAACCCCAAAATCCCGTTGTCTATATACGTACATGTTGCCGTCGAGTGATATCAAATTTGGGGTCCTGTGGTAGGTCGTGCAGCATTGACAGCCTGCGGCATCGTCGATTATAAGAAACGTCAACATGGACGAAGACTTGTGAGGTCTTCTCACCTCAGAGTCGTTTCCCATCGAAGCCTTCGTGCGGGTCATCAAACGGCCTATCCCACATCGTTTGCGGAGTGGCGCCGGTGGGTTGTGTCATAGTCGTCGTATTCGTTATCAAGCTTTTCAGCATGCGCTGTTTTGGCTTGAAGTTTTGCGATGCGGTGTTGTGGAACCGTTAATCGGCTTGTATTGATTTCGCCTGTGGTGTCGCTCGTTTTTGCCTCAAAGTATTAAAGCTCGTGCTTGTATCCCGTACTCTCTCATTCAGCTATTGGACTACCTCAGTCCGCCAGCTGATTCAGTACTCTGATACTCAAGATCATCACCAACAAGCCAATGGTCACCACGATAAGCAGGGCAAACGAGAACCAGCCCATTGCTATCGCGCTGGTACCGACACCCGACTTCACGCTGCCATTGCCGAGATCCTGGGCAATGATACTGGCTGCTACTGATGCAGTATGTTGCCACAGCACAGACACAAGAATGAAAATTGATGCCACAAAGATAATGGCAAGTGAAATCTGCGAAACGAATCGAGACGGGAAAGGCTTTACCTCACGCTCGGAACCCTCGCTGTCTTCCTCCTCGTGCCAGCCAGGGAAAGTGGCTAGAAGCAAGAGGCAGATAAAAGCAAAGATAATAGCAATGATTCTGAATAGTGGGTTAGTATTTCGATCTTGCAAATGGTGGGGTCGAGGTCGATCACGGGTGGAATGAACAAAGAAAAGCCTTACATCAAGTACGGGAAGACAATCATGTCCTTAAACTGGCTGGCCAGCCAGATGAGATTAAGCGGGTCCTGGTCCACGCTTACCTCGTTGGCCAAAGCCGTTGCGTTGTTCGAGCAAAGCCATGCGCCGCCGTCAGGGTTCACACAAATGCCAAAGTAACCGACCCGGGCCTGCAAATGGGCGGACCCAACGATGCCACTGATGGCATTATTAACACTGTAGTCAACCTGGGCGGTGCTGGGTACAGCTGTATAATGTTCGTAGTAAAGCGACAGCAAGAAGATGCCGGGAATTAAGGGACTGGACGATGAACAGCCCGCGAGGAGGAGGGCTAAATACCACTTGTCAGTATGAAACAATAGTAAAGAAAATGTGCAAATGAAGGAAGCGCTGCTCTGCTGGAGAACATGCGTACATAGTAGAATGATTGCTACGGCAATCAATATCATCAACACATGATGGTAGCCGAGAAAAGGTATGTATCCTATAATTTGTTAGCATTTCGTGCTTTGAGACCGGTTGGATATGAATCAAAAAGGTGGGAGAGATGTAAGCAAACGGAAATGACTTACGGTACCACCCGACTTGGACAACGCCGCCTTGCGGCATGGCGACACGGATGCTGTGCCGACGTGCGCGCGCCGCCTTGGAATGTGGATATTAGGGGTGACGGTCCACCCAGAAAGCCACGCCGCACTCAATGACAGTAGGCGTCTTGGGGAAGGCTGTACAGTGAATTCTTGTGGAATCGAGGCGCTTGTGCGCACGAGAAGAATGCGACCGATCGACTTGGGATTCCTATGGAACGGTTCCTGTTATGGCAGGTTGACTTGTGTTTCGGCTCGGCTCGTTCGACAGGAATGTGTGCCAACGGACTTGGGCGATCGGACAAGCAAAACTGGAGAATTGAATGTCGGCAGACAAACCAAGAGCAATCAGCGAGATAGAAAGGGACAAGAGAGAGGAAAAAGAACGGAAGAGATGGGAGGAAGTAACCGGCAACGCTTGAGACTTAGAAATCACGATTTAAATACACTCTTTTTCTTCAAAACAAATGATCGGGTCTGCTTGTCCTTGGAGATCTTTGTTTGAGAAGAGCAGAAGAAAGCATAGATCGAAAGACGAGGTCCGAAGCGGAGACGAAAACGCGCGCGCGAGAGAGTAGGCAAGAAGAGAAGGAAAGGTAAAAGTCGGAGACGAAACAGAGAAAATGGATTCAATGGGTGACCTGTTTTCGATTAGTCGAGACTTGGGAATGCAGAAAGGTGCAACTTGACAGTTGGCGATGGCTGGAATGTTCGAAGTATGTTTGAAGATGGTGTGAAAGAGAGAAAAAATGGCGAGAAATGGGAAGAGTGAAGAGAAAAGGAAAATGGAATGTAAAGGAGACAAAAGAGGAGCCAGGCAGATGGACAATGACAGGAACTGGAAGGTACGCATGTGTTCTCACTTTCTTGGAACGAGGGAATTGATTGCCTTGTCACTGAACAGTGCGTTGCCGTGCAAAGTGTACTTATGGACGAGGTACCGGGTTTGGTCGCTTGGTCGTCGCTCGCTGGGCAACTTGCCAGGAAGGAGTCAATGGTCGATTTTGTCTTGGTGCGCTGTCAGCCATACGAAAAGGGGGCAGGTACGATACAAAGGAGCACATGGTGGCGGTTGCCGTGATGTCAACAATTGCTAGAGGTTGGTGTGTTGGCTGGGAAACGCGGTCGAAGCAGTTCGACTTTTGCGTGTAATACTGGAAAAGGCATGGCGTGGGGCGTGGCCAGCGCCGGGTTCTAGCCCCACCTTCCTTAATAGCTTTGGATGGGGCCTATGTTAGCGCCACGGCGCTTGCCATTTTAGCACCAAAATACCCCTGTTCTGCACTGCTGGGCATCAAACCAGTGCAAATGGCTGGTGCATCCCTTCGAGCTTGCCATTTTCCAGTTGCACCCAGCAACCACCACGCAGCCCCCTCTCTGTACGAAACAAAGATGGAGATTTCGGATATTTGACTGTTGCATGAATATTCCCCTGCATGGATAGCTTGGCAGCTTGGCTACGTTTCCGTATGGCAACTTTCTTGACAATCTCCAAATACAAGTACGACATCGTGCTCGATCTCCCCATTGTTTTGGCCCCATTAATTGTGCTATTTTTATGATATCAACACTCACGATGCAAGATCGCCGTCTAAGATCTGCTATCTCGTTTATGAGATGATCGATTTGTCCTTTCATACAGCATACAAGGCAACCGTGTTTGTCGTGAGAGAAAGTGACAAAGTCGTAAATTAGATGCTATGTAGTCATATCCTTCGTCTCGAATGCTAACCTGATCGCTCCCTTTCCAGAAGCGTCCTATGCATGTATCCTCTCACTTTGCCAAACTGTTTTCACCGCCTCCGACGGAAACGGCTATTGAACCCAGACCCTCCCTTGGAGCCGTTGTTGCGCAGCTTGAGGCGCTTGAAGTTGGCATGGGCCAACTCGTTCACCTTGCGCACCGCCTTTTTCACGGGCCCATCCGGCTTGCCGCCCGTCCTCTTGTCGGCCGCCTTCTTGGTCGTCTTCACCTTGTCTGGGCCGTCCTCAGCGTCAGAGCCAAACTCGGAACCAGAGAGCGGCGCCAGACTGTCGCCTTCTCCCTTTCCGTCTCTCTTGCCTTCTGCCCCGTTGTCGTTGTTGCTGTTGTTATTGACGTCATCCTCGCTATCGCTCGCATCGTCGGCCAATGGGCCAGGCGCAGGACGTTTTGTGCGCGTGGGGCGAATATTGACGCGACGGGTGGTCCGCTTTTGACCCTTTTTCTTGTAGACACGCAGGGGCTGGCCGTCGCGGCCGACTTGGTCTTCGGGTGCGCTGTCGTAGAGTCCCTCGTCGTCGAAGCCGCCAAGGAGGCGCGGGGGTTGTATGTTGTGGTCGCCGTCGGGCCTCAGCGTCTGTTCGTACTGCTCAAGCTCCTGTAGCTGTTGTTCGTGTAGTTGTTGTAGCTGGCCGGCCTCGACCTGGACGCCGTTTCCGCCATTCGCAGGGCCGGTGGGCATCTTTGCTTGAGGAGGCGGAACTGCCGTCGTCGCCTTCGGCTTCGACGTTGGTGGCGGTGCGTTCATATCCATGCTACTCTCTAGATCCCGCAGCACGTCGAGCTGCTCGTCGAGCTGTTCGTCCTCAGCCTTGCGCAGGCTTGCCAGGACGCTGCTGAGGCCACGCACGAGCGGTTTCCGCGGCAAGCGCAGCTTGTTTGGCGGCGACATGAACTCGCCGTTCTCGTCGACGGGTGGCAGAGCCGAGGATGTGCGGCGAAGGAACGCGGGCGTTGCAAAGGACTGTTGCGCGCTGTTGTCACCACTGCCCTTGGAGGGCGTCGCCAGAAGCTGTTGTGTCATGTAGTTCTGGTTGTCGTTGTTGCGTGGCTTGAGTGGTGTTGTGCCCAGCACATCACTCCCGTCGCGCGCCCCTGTCCCTATGCTCGTCGCCAAGGCTGCGGGGACTCCGCCGCCAGCGGTGAAGTGATTGAGCAGATTTCTCCGACCAGAAGACATTGGTGTGCGGCCAAGCCGGCGGGTATTCACGGTGCCGTCTTCGTCTTCGTCGTCGCTCTTGCCATGGTCGATATTGAGCGTTTGTTTGCGAGGTGTCGCGCCGAGCAAGGCGGTAGTGGCTGGTACCACCAGCTGTCCAGCTCCCGGTGCTCCTGTAGTCGCCTGCATTTCTGTTGTTGTCCGTTTTGAGGGTGTGGCCTCGACGGCATGTCGTTTCTGGCGCTTCTCTTCCTCCTCGTTCAGCACATCGAACAAACCGAGGACGCGGCCGTCCCGCTGTGGGGTTGGGCCAATGGAGGTAGGAACGACAGGGCTAAAGAGTTTGCGCGAGATAGAGGGCGTCATGGTGAGGTGTGTGTCGAGGTAGCTAGCACCGCCCTGCGTCGGCGTGGCGGCCGGCGCGGCGCGAGAGGGTGTTGCTCGCGTGACGGACGCGCGCAACCGCTTTGAGGGGGTCTGTATGCGTTGTGCAGCATCGGTTTCGTCAGCAGGAGCTGCGGTTGACGATGGAGCAGTGTGTTTTCGTTTCCGCCGCGCCTCGTCTTTCTTCGAATTGGATGTCGCCGAGGCTTTGCCGGAGAGAACGGCACGGGTGTGGTTGTACGCCCTGTATTTTTTGGCTATCAGGTCAACACCAGCGAGAAAAACAACAGAAGCGCCATGCCATTTCTCGGACACAAACTCACCAATCTCGGGATTGCGAGAGATGTCTTCGCGGGCCGGCTTTGCACCGCCGTGCTCGCGTGCCCAAGTCGTTTCCCATGTTTTGAGAGCCAGGCGCAGCTGTTGCGACTCGGCCTCGTATGTTGCTCGTACGGCCTCGTCGAGCATATTGGCGCGAGAGTAGAAAGGAGTATGTGTTTGTGTACGTCGTGTTATCGGAAGTTGTCGTTTGGCGAGGGTGGGTGAGTGTGGGAGGAAAAAGGTAAGGAAAGAACGTTCTCTGCAGTATCTCAAACTGGGACCGAATTGCAGAATGGGCAGTTCACTTCCAATTGTCGTCGCTGAGGAAGAATGAACGGCAATTTACGCGTAAGGACGCTGTATGTCTAACCACTGCAATGACGCGCTCTTCGGGCGGGGCACGCGTATTGCTTTGGTGCGCGTCTTGACAAACCTGGGAGAGGCGGTTTTAGCGGCCTGTGCCTTGCGCGATACGCTAACGCCACTGCCAAAGCCTGACATTGTTCTCGGCCACTAAAACGTGCTACGTAGCGCCAACAAAGGGCGGCTGTCACCGATTTACGCCCTGAAGATCGGCGTTGGACATGTTCATCATTTTACATCGTGATCCTGGCCGTCCTGGCTGTCTAACATATCGTTATGATATTTTTGAGTAATCAGGTTTGACACTGGTATCTTCTGGGGGTGTCTCTGTAAAATGTTGAGAATCCTGAAAGTAGTGACAGAACAAAAGAAACGCAAGATAGGAATATGACGCTCCACAGTGGTCCGTGACGGACGGTGACCATGGCATTTCGATGGTTGTGGAGGGGTTTGCAATAAAGATTTTGTCATACTATTCACCAAGACACATACTTTGGACCGCAGGGCTTCTCATAAGAAACCGAAGGTCAAGTACTGTCTGACTGTTTGATGGAAGGATAACATCACGCGTCAGTGATGATGCTTAGTAAACGACCCAATGTGTGGGCCGTCGGAAACTCAGAGAATTTAGAAGCGTATGCAAAAGAAAAGAATAATAAACACGGCTTTGACAGCAGTAGACTCTATTAGACGTAATATTAGTTGACTGGTCGCACACACTGCTGATTGTTGGCATCATGACTATCATTTTGGCCTCCGCACTTGAGATCTCTGAAGACGTACTCGGTAGTCCGGTTGACAGATCACAAGGTCGAGATGAAAAGATCGGGGTACACACGAGACAAGTAGGCTCATGCAAGCACGTCGAAAGACATTCAGCCAAGGGATGATGTTCGGTTCACGGAAATCACAGGGTCGGCATGCCAGCCGAATTCAGGCGCTGCCTAGCCTTCAGTTGACAAGCTTTGGCCGGCAGCGATCTCGAGGCGGAGCCGAGCATTGACCAAGTTGACAGAGAGACCATGAGTACCTAGCAGCGCATCAACCTTAGGTTTGCACGATGCGTCGTCGGTATAGCCACACACGTCATCCAGAGACGGCTGTTGTCTGGTATGCGCGGGGCGATCTTTGGGGCTGGACTCTTGTCGACGTAAGCGTTCAAGGGTGCAACATGAACTATGACTCGAGACGACGGTGTTTGTAAGGAGGCCATTGTATGGAGTAGTCTCTTGCCGTTGATAACTACAACCTGGTTGGAACAGGCCGCCTCCTGAGTAGCTTGGCGATCCGAAGATCCGTCTGCGCGTCTCAAACCCAATGACGACCGTCAGGGGTTGGTTATGCGCCGATGCGCTCGATGTGGGTTTAAAGGAGAAGAGGACGTCGTGATTTTGCAGTGAATCGCATCTGTCTCTGCGTCTATGGACCCGAGTGGCATTGGAATCTGACACGAGCCAGGCGGCACCCTCGTCAAAACACAGCCCAATCCAGCAACTAAGAACGGGGGATGATGAAATCGCTGGGTAAACTGTAAACAGTACGGCGTGTCACGACGTATGGTGGCCTGGAAATAATAGAAACAAAAATGCCTTATAACACAAACGAGAGACAAAGACCACTAATAAACGATCAGCCACGATGTAGACGTCATTGCGAAGTGCAATTGGTATTGGACGACATGAAAACGTAAGACGGAAAGCGAAGAGAAGGAGGAAAAGAAATAGAAAGACGAGCGTGTGGGAGCAGAAAACATCGTTTTGGAATAAGAGCGTCTACAAACACGAAGATGTCGTCGCCTCTTACGACTCAATTAGTGCGTCGACAGTTCAGCAACGCAAGGAAGGCTCGACTGGGCACGGGTTTCCAACCCTGGTCGCTCTTTCTTCGCAAACCGGGGGCTCTCTTGGAACGTCTCGATTGTCGCAACCCCGTTTTACCATTTTTTTTTTTTCGTGTTGTGTTTGTGCTCTATTCTTTGTGAAGTTTCTTGGCCACATTAGTTCTCCCACGAGTCTTCTGGCACAGACGGTTGACAGCGTTACATCTCGTCGCCCAATGCAGATAAGCTCATGAGAGGGTCCGACAGTCTGGAGCACAGCATGTCAAGGAGGTGCGTCAGGACTGCAAGCGGAAAGAAGAGACCGACGTCGACGTTTCACACATCAGGCAGGCGCTTCCGTTCGTTCTTGCTTTGTCGGGCGCGAGTCACTCCTCACCCCAACGTCAATCCTCACATTCCCACATAATTGACCGACAACAGACCAACCCCGTCCGGTGCAGCGACCACACCACACCCTCCGATGAAGCGAGCGTCCTGGGACAGGGCCCGCATTGACGGCGACAGAGTTTGACAGGCCAGACCTTTGATGGACGACGATGTGAGGACGATCTGAGTCTCTGGCACCCAAGACGGATCCCTCCTGATCCGTCTCTCGCGACCCAGGGCGACGGCCAGGATGGCCCAGGAGACAGCAGAGACACAGGACGAAACCCTGGTTGACAGGCACGCACTGCCTGCCCTGCGTCCCTGCTCCCCGGCCTGCCGGATTGTTCAGACAATGTCGTCTGTCTGTCTCCTGTTCTTGTTCCGCCAAGCCTGTTTGGTGATGGGCGCTTGCGGCGATCTACTTAAGTCATGATCTCCCTCGTGTTTTCGTCTCGTCTTTTCTTTTTTTGCCCTTTCTTATCACGCTCACAATCTTTTCCATCGTGTCCAACTTCAGTCTGTCTCTGTTCTTTCTTTTCTACAACAGGTTCTGCGAACCGTTTACTTTCATTTTCACTCCTTTGAAACCCAAACTCTTGCAACCAACTACCGGCCGGTCCTCTTGTTTTTCAACCTCTTCACTTCGTTCCTTGACATCACGAGTTCGTTTTCGAACACGTATTTCTAAATCTGTACCCATCCTGGTTTATACATCTTTTGTTTCTTGTACATCGATCCACCTCTCTTTTCAAAATGAAGTACTCCGCTGCTGTCCTGGTTGCCAGCCTCGGCCTGGCCTCTGCCGAGGGCGACGTTCTTCGCCTTCGTGAGGTGCCTCAAGAGCACTCGCACAACCGTTTCCTCGACCTTGTGCGCGCATCGCTCAGCACCAACAATCCCCAGAAGATCCAGGATCCCGTCTTCGGGCTTCTGGGCAACGCTGCTGCCGCTGCCGGTGCCGGCTCCGTTACCAACCTCGACTGTCTGCAGCAGGCCACGGCCGACCAGGCATTCACCAACGCCAAGGCCGCGGGCGACATCCCCGGCATGGCTGGTGCTCTGCTGTACCGTGCCATTGAGCGCAACACGGGCTCTGTCGGCCTGGCCAGCGTGATCTGCAATGAGACGGCCGCCAACCCCGAGATCCAGGCTGTCTCGCAACACCAGGACCCCGCCAGTGCCAACGCTGCGACTGTCAACAAGGGCATCACACTCGCCCTGGCCAAGCAGCTTGCCGCCATTGGTGCCGACCCGCTGCTGGCTCTGGAGAGTGGTACCTTTGCCCCCGGCAAGGTGGGCGACCCGACGGCCGCTGGCAACACGTGCGATACCGAGAACGATGAGCCCGGCTGTATTTTCTCGGAGAACCTGCTGGTGCTCGACGCCAGCGAGGCCGAGATCAGTGCCGCTGTCGCCGGCATCACGCCCACCATCACCGGCACTGGTGTTATCAGTGCCACTGACATCGACCTGGCTAAGCTGGCTGTTGCGACTGGTACGGCTGGTGCGGCTGGTGCGACTGCCGCCGCCGGTACCGCTGCTACCTCATCTGAGGCCGCCTGCGCCGGCACCACCCGCACCGTTATTGCCACTGTGACTGCCGCTGCTGCCACAGCTGCCGGCTCCTCGTGTAGCACCGTGGTCTCGACCGTGGCCGCCGCCGAGGCCAGCGCCCTTGTCGGTAAGCGCCAGTCGCCCCTGCGCCGCTCCCGTCCTCAGCGCCGCGCCGCCCTTGACTTTGGCTCGTGCGGTGCCCCGACGATTCTCTTCGAGTCTGGTCTCGACGGCCGCAACACCGAGGCTTTCATTGCTGAGGACCAGACCGACTTCAACCACGGCTCGGCCCTGAACATTGCCGTCATTGCCGGCTTCATCTGCCAGCGCCTCGGCTCCTCCTGCAACGCCGCTGCCGACGTTCAGGCCTCGTGCACGGCTGCTTCGGCTGCCGCGGTGGCCACGACACAGAACCAGGCTGCTGCCGATGCCTTCAACAACGCCCTGGGCCTGGGCAGCGGTGTTACTGCCGCCGCCGGCAACGCCGCTTCTGCGACTGCCTCCTCTGTTGTCGTCACTGTCACGAAGTGCTCATAAGCAACACGGTGGTGTTTGAAATAAGACGGAGCGGATCGACGCTGGTTTTAGCTGTGACAAGATTTAGGGGACGAATGTAGGACAGGTGTGCGGACTGGCACCAGAGTCAGGACGCAAGTGCATTTGTATGATTAGCCGCTCTGTAGGGTATGGCTGTTATGAAAATAAAACAATAAAAGGATGCGTTGTTATTGCCGCTCACTCATAAAACAATATTCCGTCTTGTCTTGCGATTTTTGTGGATTTTCTCAGATTCAATTGTGCCCTCTGCTTATTTGTTTTGCAGATCAGATCGTCCTGTCCCAGTTCAATATCCTCCTTTCTATGATTGTCGCGGTCCTGGAAGTCACCGCTGTGGGGTTATGGTACTTGCCCTAGTGTAAATGGCCTAGCCAGTCGCTGTCTACCAACACCTATCACGTGCGCTTATAGGTGGCGAACCTCGCTAATATTGGTCGATTTTGCCTCTGTTGTTCACAGCCTTGTTAACCTCTTGCCAACACTTCTTCTCGACAACGCCTTCACACTCCGCCGTCACCACCTTTTCGGAATGTCCACTCTCCCGCCGACAACACACACATGGCTGCTGACTTTATGACGCCATGGACGCTGAAGCGGAGAGCGGGCTGTCCATGATAGAATCTGGTGAGGAGAGATCCAAGGTGACGCTCGAAGCAAGGCCGGCAACAGCGTCTGCCACCACGACCAGCACCCCTTCCTCGCCGTCCTCGTCGATCGACCGCTGTGTAATCTGCCTCGATACCATCGCCGAACCCTGTGTCGCGCAGCCCTGCGGCCACCGCGACTATGACTTTCTCTGCCTCATCAGTTGGCTGTTACAGCACAACCCGTCTTGCCCTCTATGTAAGGCTGCTGTGGACGCTGTGCAGTATGGAGATGACCTCACCAAGACTTTCTCTGTGCCAAAGCAGGCCGAGAGCAGTTCGGGGGCAGAGGCGGCAGCCTCGGAATCGGTCTCGACCCAAACACCCTTGTCCTTGTCGGCGGACGCCCGACCACCGCGAACTCGACCTCGTCGCCGTCCTCCACCCGCTACGTCATCCTCCTCGTCCTATACCTCTTCTCCGTCCCCGGAAGCCGCCCTCGAGCGCCGTCGTCATGTCTACCGTCTCGGTCTCTTCGCCCGACACGTCGGCGCCAATCGCCACTCGCGGTACTACCGCGAGCTCACTCCGCAGCTGTTTGCGCAGGACCCGGACCTCGTGTCGCGTGCGCGCGCCTTTTTGCGCCGCGAGCTACAGGTGTTTTGGGTGGACCGGGGGGCGCAAGGCCAACGCGACGAGCGACCCCACACTCCATCCTCCCGATCCTCCCGATCCTCCCGATCCTCCCGCCGCACAAACAACGTCGAGTTCCTCCTCGAGTATATTGTGGCCATCCTGCAGAGCATCGATCTGCAGAACAGCGCCGGCCAGGCCGAGGAGCTGCTGCAAGGCTTCTTCCGCAGCCGCCGCGATCATACGCGCCACTTCTTGCACGAGCTGCGCAGCTTCTTGCGGAGCCCCTACCTGACGCTCGCAAACTGGGACCGGCACGTACAATACAGTGCACGGCTCCCTGTACTAGGAACAGGAGACGGCAACGAGGAGGAGGTCGACGAAGCAACAGCTACGGAAGACAACAAGCATGCTTCACGGCCCACGCTGCGGGGTGACTATTGGCGGCCGCCGTCGCGACGACGCCGAAGCAGTAATAGCAGGGCTGCCGGTGTCACGTCCAGAGCATCGCGGCAGCGTCTTGAAGAAGCCTGCCGTCGCTACGATCCGAGTTAAGCGCATTTACCAAGAAGTCCCGAAACAAGAAGCCAGAACCCGACGCTACGTACGACGAACGACGTGCCGGAACAATGTCCTCCTCCGAAATTGGGCGTAACACAGAGCCCACAGTACAAAGCAGTCCTTGCAATGCCTAACGACAAGGCCAAAAAAACGCCTCGTGGCAGGTGACTGCTGCGGCTGCGGCAGGCACTGACAATCCTGCAGGCCTCGCTCGAATTCGGCTCGATCTCAAGGTCGATCAGACTCGGTAAAGAAATGAAGAAGACTAACATCGGACCATTTTTTTTTCAACAAGCTTGTTCAAGGTTCGACTATGACCAAGCTGCCGGCCTCTTTCCCTAATCTCACTCGCATTCGCCAGACATGGTTGCAGAAGGTCCAGAATCTTACGCTGCGGGATGAGCCGTATTACCATAGACAGACATCCTACAATACTACTAGACTAGAAGACGATGCACATCAAGACAGTGTATATAGTTGTTATAAATTCAAAATTGAAGGGTACCCGAATGCACTAAAATACTACTCCATACTCCCGTCAGTGATTCCATGGTTTTCCCGTCTGCAGGTGTTTTGACGCTTCGGCCGAAATTGATTGGTAAGTGTGTTAAGAGAATCGCGCAAAATTAGACAAAAAGGGCTCCGGAAGAGCATTTGGTCGCAGGGGTTTTGGCTGTAAAAGTCGCTTTATTTAGTGACACTGTCGCCTAAAGGGCACCGGCCAACCACGAGCGGCAATGACTTCCCGATGTATTTCTTTGGACTCTCTCCGAGCTTTTGCTAGAGGTAGCGGTGGAGTTAGTTTGCCTGTTTCAGCGGTGCACCACCAGTGGCGTCATATTTAGTTGCCGACGAGGGCAGGACGACCACACCAAGGGACCAGAGCTTTTGGGGAGGGACCTTAAAATATATTGATACTTAACAGTGTCGATTGTTGCTTTTTGTTTTGTCCTCTCTGCATATACACGCATTACCAAGCAGCCCAGCACCTATCAAAGCATCACCACATCATCACTTCATCACTTCATCGCAACCATGTCGACCATCAACGTCAAGATCATCTCGGACGTTGTCTGTCCCTTCGTAAGAGTCGTTCTGCCTTTATTTTTCGATACCCCAAGTTGCTGCACAAGCCACCCATAGGGCATAACACGAGACCGAACGGACTGCTAACAAGTTAGTGCTATCTCGGCAAGAAGCGCCTCGAAAAGGCCATCGACGTCTACAAAAAGACTGTCCCCGGCGGCGCTGACGACCGCTTTGACGTGTCCTGGCAGCCCTTCTACCTCGACCCCAACGCCCCAAAGACTAGCGTCCCGACCAAACAGCGCTTGGCCCAAAAGTTCGGTGCCGACCGCGCCGAGGACCTCAATGCCCGTATGCGGGCCATGGGCGCCGCCGAGGGCATCAACTTCACGCATGAGGGCAAGGTTGGCAACACCCGTGACGCCCACCGCATCATCCAACTCGCCAAAGCCCAGGGTGCCGACAAGGAAGACTCGGTCGTGTCCAGCCTGTTCCGCTCCTACTTCGAGGAGGGCGGCGACATCACGTCGCATGACGACCTGGCAGCTGCGGCTGAGCGTGGCGGCCTTGACGCTGCGACGGTTCGCGACTGGCTCAGCAGCGACAAGGGCGGCACTGAGGTCGACGCTGAGGTCAGCGAGGCCTTTCAGCACGGCGTGCACGGCGTCCCGCACTTTATCATCAACGACAGCGTCGAAGTCGGCGGTGCCCAGGACGTCCAGACTTTTGTGGGCGAGTTCCTGCGCGCCAAGAAGAACGCGTAAAGGCGGGGATGCCCGTTGTGCCGAGCGGCAGGTGTTTGTTCCTTCTCTTCGTCATGTATCTCTCGGTATTCCGCATTTCATATTCATATTTCATATTCCCGCTTTCCCCGCCTCACATGTTGAGCAGGCCGCCTAGGTCTTTGTCCATAGCACGTAGCCGCTCCTGAAGCTCTTTTTTTTTGCGTTCAAGTTCCCGAATCTCATATTCTTCGTGCCGGAGATCGTCGTCCGTCAGTCCGTCGGCAGCCGCTGGTGCAGCGGCTGCCATGGACATGTCGTTGTCGCCGTCGAATTCCCCTTCGCCGCCCCGTCGGTCGTGGTTCATACCCTCAAGCCGCTGTGCTTGCTCCGCCACTTTGGCCTCGTAGTAGGTGAGCGTGCTCGTCTGCTGTGCGTGCTTCTGACGCAGAACAGGGATCCGTTCCAGCGCACCAGGCAGCGCGTACACTGTGCACAGCTTCTCGGCACCCTTGAGAAGAATGTTGACGTCGACGTCACCGCCGCCACCGCCACCGCCACCAGTTCTCCGCCCGATCTGTGCATGGAGGTCTCCGCCCAGTACGGCCGCTACAGCTGTCTGCCGCCGCGGTGCAGCACTTGGCCGTGCCGACGGCGGGCCCGTTGTAACTTCGCCGGCTGCTACATTGAAGACAGTCTGGCGCCGCTTGGAGGACGATGCCGCGACTCCTGCCCCAGAATCGCCAGCCCCAGACACGGCCGTAGAGGGTGCCTCCGCCGGCGTCGTCTTGGCTGCCGGAAGTGGTGCCGGTACCGAAAAGAGTGCCCGCTCATGCGCCTCTGTGTCGCGGATGAGGCTGGTGATGTCGTCGTTGTAGAGAAGCGCGTTCGTAAACACCTTCGGCGGCGGAAATCTTTGCAAGCAAAGCCGTCTGAGCGTCAGCAAAATTATTACAAAAGTAGTGCACAATAGCACGGGAGCAAACAATCTAGTCAACAAATATCGAGAGAACAAATAAAAAAACGCCTTTTTCACTTACGGCAGGCTGCGTATGCCTTGGCAGGACACCGAGATCTGGTCCAGATGGACCATAAGATGCGACATTTTTAAAATTTTGTTCTTTGCGTGTCTTGTTGCTCAATTGAGGCTATAGTTTTGTCATGTTCTTTGATATGCTAGATGTTGACGATGTGTGACGCGGTTTGACGCGCTGCCAATTTGCACTCCGGGCTGGCTGCGAAGTAAATACGGCATAATGCCAGCCAAAAAGCCACTGGCTGCCCCGCATTGTCCAATGATGCGCACATCCCTCGTCCTCAGAGGTGTATTGACTTCTCCACTTTTCGAGAACCAGTCCATGGCTGACCGCCTTCTTCTGCGAACTTCACTTCCCAACTGCCCGAGCGATTCGAGGCATGCACGCAAGCGGGGTCTATCAACCCTCACAACACAGTGTTCTCGGCGTCGCTCTTTCTCTTTTCGTTGTTTCTCGAGAAAGACGGTTGGTCGCTTGCACTTTCTTGCCCAATCCCGAACTAGCGTCGACTTCCGCCAGTCACTCCTTCCTTAGTTTTCGCTTTTCTTACCGCAGAAGCCGCCGCCAAAAATAATAAAATAAAGGATAAAAAAAGACAGAAAGTGACTGCTACAGCACATTGCCCGCCCACGAAGACTTGGCGATCCAAAAAGCTGGTTTCATTATCTTGCGCAGTATTCAATATTGCAATACTAGCTTTGGAGATCTCGTTCCTTCCTTGCCTCGCTTGCCTTGTCTCTTATGGAAGACCAAGCAACGCCCTAACTCGTTCTTTCCACTTATCTTTAACAAGGCACTTCCCGAAGAAGAAGGCACCGTTGGCCTCGTTGACGCTATGAGAGTACGTCGTACGGTAATACATGTTTCTTAAATTGGAAGCGACGACTGTCACAAATGCCGACGTAGACACCCTCCCCGAATTTTTGTTCTCATCATCTCCCTTTCTCCTTTGTACCTATCTACTTGTTTCTCTCCATCTCCACAACTCGCAGCCTTGCCGTTAGGCCAGAACACGTCCAGCACGGCGTCCACGTCGTCAACTACAGCCGCACCCGCTCGTGGCTTCTTGCCTTCGCCTCGCCCCTCTCCTGCCAATCGCTTCTAAATCGTCCTTCTTTCAGCTTCCCTGTTCTTCCTGTTTCAATCGTCCGCGACCAATCTATCCATCTCTTCCAGTCCCTTGTGTCTGTTCAGGCATCAAATTAAAGCATCGCCGAAACGTGGCCGGGAGGCGAAAAACGAGGGCAACCTATCCGTTCCGACACGCCAGCGGGTCTATTTCATGGGCATTGCTGCCCAAATCGCCTTCCAGTCCTTCCTTGGCCCATTTTTCTGTGCCAGCTACGGGCCCGCGCGTGGTTCATGATGCAGCCGCTCTAATACGGCATACAGTGGACTCTATCGTTGAACGGTGGATAAGGTTCCACCTCAAGTTGAGGCCCTCAACTCATCCTCCATGTCTACCAGCATTGTCATTGCATTTATGTCCTTATCGTCCGTGCCGAGTCGGGCACAACAAAAGAACAGTTGCAAAATTCATCTTGACTCTCGATGAGGTCCCAATCTGCATTGGATCTCAGACGTCCTAGTAGACGAAAGATTGGGGCTTTTCTTGCTGCACTTCGTTGCAGTTGAAAAATGTAAGTCGCAGATGCTTTTCCCCTTCCCATGTGGCATAGCCCATTGCCCATCCTTAGTTCCCTCGCTATCTTGTCTTTCCTGCCTTGCCTGTTGCAAATCATTACAAACTCCCCATATCGATACTTGCAGCCTATCCCAGCTGTATTTCATGTTTATTGTCACTCTGTTACTGTCTCCCTCGCACTTGTCCCGGACCGTCAGAGCACACGGCAACGCGAAAGGCGTCACAATCCCATTGGCATCCCAATCCGTTTAGTCTCATTTGCAACATCCCGTTAACCAGCTTACTCTACTCTGCGTGGCACTCTCAGATTGTCAACTGCCGCTCAGCCTCCGTATTTTCTCACAACTCGCCAGGTAAGAAAAAATACAATTCCTCCATAATCATTTATTGATTCAGCAACTAGTCCTGTACTTGCTGCGTCTATTTTTATTTTTATTTTATTTTTGCCCCCAGCGTAGCACACTCAATCGCCCTCGCTCACGTTCCGTGGCGCCGTGTCTAACGTGCTTACAACTTGCATCAACTCGCCTTCTGCTTCCCCCCCTCTCACCCCTCCACCATTCCTTCGGGCTGGTCTGCAGCTTCCCCCTCCATCAGAAGCGGCCGGCACGAGCCAGTCAACTTGCCCTTCTCCTGTGTTTGTGTCCACTCACCCGCCGTGATAGCTGGCTGTCTTCAATGTCCTTGTCCCAGGATCAACAACACCGGTTGCGTCAGTTGCAGTAGTTGCAGAATACCTGTGGATTGCAGCGCGCACAACATCAACCGGTGTACTCGTCAACACGAGCCACCCCAATGCCCAAAATTTCGCAAACAAGAACTGACCACTCAACAATGCACGGCTCAGATCTGACATCTGCAAGCCTGTTCGCTTTTGTTCCCAAGTCCGCACCCACATCTACGTCCACCCCCGTCGCCGCCCATCTTCCAAAAACGCATCTTGCCTTCCTTGCCCACCCATAACGCAACCTGACGGCTTTCGTTCAAACTCGACCCTTGCACTCCCTTTGCTTTTAAATACTTATGTTTCCTTCCATTGTCTTCCCTAGTGCAATGCGCCTCATTCTCTGCTGCTCGCCTTGTCTCCGAGAGTGAGTCTCCTTTGAGTCTGCTTAGGTACTGAGGTCGTTTTTGTCCGTTCCTACAACTTCCCTTTCTTATTCATCCTGCCCCGGTATGTTCTTGCTGCGCGAAATCCTGCATTCATACTTGGCACTAAATATATCATGACAACCAACCAGAGCTCAATACTTTCGGCTTGTTGGAGGCTCAAACTTCGGGTGCTGGATCCCTGATTTCTTCGCATTTCATTTTCGTTTATCTTTTTTTTTTGTTCTTTGGACGAAACTATCTCACTTCTTGCCCTCTTTTCTCGCTCTCCCCAAGTCTTGCCTTGTCGAGCAACGCCGGCCTCTACAACACCCTCACCTCCAGCATTGTCGTCTCTGCCACTGCATAAAGCCAACGGCAGGTTATATGCATATTTGCACACGAGCACACACAAAAATTCACAAAATCCCCCCACATCAGTCGTGATAAGCGGTGATCCCATACCTTGAGATAATTTATGGTTGGCTCCCAGTCCAGAAAGTGGTGTCAAAATATCTCTACACAGGACCAAAAGGCGATACCGGAAAGAATCTCAGCACACAAAGGCATTTTTGATTCTTACTTTATCGCATACAGCTACTCGACTTCTCGGAACTCGAGCAGGAGGACATTGGAAAGAGCAAAGGGTTCCTGACCTCCGAAGGGCCTGTTTTAGTTCTTGCCCACGAGACGGCATTCGGATCCTTCACAGTGCCCGGCCGGCCAAGTCAGCCCATCGTCTCCCGTCTTTGAAGTCGTCGCCGATATTGGTGATCATATCTTATCCGCCCAATCCGGTCTTATAATGTCTCGCACAATGGATCTAGTCTCACCGCCGGAAACACCAAGTGTGGCTTCTCCTAGTGGCCGGCAACCTGCTACCGGGCCTCACAATCAACCTCACAGCATACACCACGCGATCTCATCGTCACCGCGATACCCTGGGCCCAATGGCCTGGGTCCTCGCGCTTCCATAACTCCAAAAGCTGTTAGCACAAACAAAACAAACGAACTCTCATTCCGGGCGTCCTCGGCCCGGCCGGACAAGCAATTACCACACTTGGCCGGCTCTTCCATTAACGGCACCATTGGTCACAATCTGACTACTAAAGTTGAGGATGCCGATGATGCGGACGGCGATGACGACGAGGATCAGTCGGACTCCGACTCCGATTCGGTAACCAGCGGCAGCATCTCGAAATCGTCGAGCTCGGCAGAATTGTCAAGTCCACCAATAACGTCACGACCAGCACCTCTCCGAAGGCGGGCGGGCCGAACGAGCGGCTCAGCTTCTCCAGCATACACGCCTGGAGAAGGCAGAGTAAAATCTAGCGAAACAAGACGCCCCTCTTTTGGCGGTAATGCAACGCAATTTTCGACACGCCTGCTTGTTGTTGAGGCAGCCTTGGTCATCGAGGAAATCAGCGACTTCGACAGCGATAACGGCCGTATCCAGGTCATTTTGCCATACGAAATCGAGGAGGCGGAGTCGGAGCGTGAAAGAACACCAGACCCAAATCATAACCGAAGCGGAAAGCTTAACGCGGGCAGGGCACAGCGTCGGCGGTCCTCTGCTCGCCTGTCCCGCCTTCCCGAAATTGATCGAAGCGTCATGAGTGGTCTCCGAGGATTCTCATTTCGAAACGATTCAGACGAAGAAGCACTGATTGACGAGGACGAAGAGGATGGATCTGATTTTGACGAGAATGCTCACAATCTCTTCCGCCTCAAGCAACGTGCTGAGAGGCGTCGGCGTCGTATGACCTCTGGAAGCATAAGCAAACGAACAATAAGTGAGAGCATTGGCAGCGACACGGACAATGAAGACCTCATGGCAATGCTCGATGAAAGTGAGGTCGGCTCGAGTGCCCGTCGCCTTCGACGCCGCATCGGCGACCGCCACAGCCTACAGTTTCAAGATCCTCCTCCGCCTCGAATTGATGAGCTCGAAGAGCCAGATACGAGCGATAACGAAGACGACGTCAAGGAGTTGACTCGAGATGGTGAAACACTAGCGCGGGAGCTCCCATACTACACTCTGGAATACATCAGCATGGAGGTCGATTCCCCATGATTATTCCACACTCTGGTCAACTGCTGTCGGCGAAAAATATCCGACTGACTCCAAAGAGAGAGAACGGGCGCATTGCTATTTCACGTCCCCAAATTGGCCTTCATCTGAGCTCCGCGTCGCAATATGCCCGTTTGAACAGCAATAGCAATCATGTTTAATCTCGTGACCATCTTCTCCTACCTCCCTTATCGTTTATCAACTGTCTATTTCCATTTTTCCTATTTCTTCCTTGCTACCTTTATCTCGAGCAGACAGTTTTGTGCTGGAAGCATAAATACTACCACTGACATGTGTTCTATCTTTATCTTTCCTCTCCTCGCTTTTCCTCCAACACTTCTTTTGACTTGGGCTAATTTTCGGCTTTGATACATGCTGCGTGCTGGGTGGCCGCCATTCTATGTCATTTTTGATGTGACGGAGTTGTCCCTTGCATTTGAGTTTGTAGCATTATTGGGTTTTGTCCTTCTTCGACAAATGGGTCCTTCGTTTCCCCTTTCTCAACTTGTTCCATTTCTCAGGGCTCTTTTTCTCGTCCTTACCCATTTGTTCATTTCTTTCGCCTCTCTATCTCACTTTCTCTTCTAATTCATGTTCATGATGCAAAGATACCTCATAGAATTGGGATACGGCGTCCTCGGACACTGCGTTGTTACTTGGCCACTGGACGTTACGGACTTTTAGATAGCCTGTTTTTAAATTACCCAAAACGTGTTTGCTTCTTCATTCAAACAAACTGTCCTCTGGTGGTAGTTGTATGTCGAACTGATTGAATTAAATGCCCGCACAGCACAAAATCAACCCAGAAACGTACGAGACTCTAAAAAAACTGTAAATAACCGAAGATGTTGATATTTACAAATTTTTCTTGGCGAAAGAAATATCTGACATATTGACGTATCAAAAAAGGAATACAAATTCAAAGAGTGGTGTCAACATCAAAGGACGATATGTGCATATATGCATGTACCCGACATAATATGATGTGGCTGGTGTGTGGCGCATGTATTTTCTAGCGCTCGAAATGGAAAGGCTGCGAGACAACGAACGGCGACCGCGTTTCCAACCTCGACATCCATCGCCATCCGTTTCTAATTTACCGATGACCAGTTCAGTCAATAATAGATTCTTGCTTTTCTCATTGTCTGGTCTAACTGAACACTTCCGGATATCCAAGCTGCGAAACGGTTCGAGCTTCGTTTTTGCTCATACCGGTTGCAAACCTGCGCACGAATTGCAACACTACCCTTGCGACCCAGAACTTTGTCATCAGTGACATTAGCTATACGACCACAGAGTACAAGTTTTGTTTATCAGTTCCTCCTTCCATTCTTCGAATATACCATCCATTGCACCTACGATGAACCAAGGCACTCCGCAACAGACCGGCGCCGGCACCCCCGGTGCCTCCAGTGTACCGATGCAGCAATCATCGTCCCAGCAACAGCAGCAGCAGCCCATCATGTATCGGCCCGAGCAGATGCGCACTATTAAAGAATTGACGCCCCAGGAACGTGGCAAATACGAGAATGGTCTTCGCGTGCTATGGGCAACCCTGGAGAGCAACCCCGAGGGCTCCAGCGAGCGAGAGACTGCTCGGAGGAAGATCCAGGAGTTCACGCCGGTTTTGGCGCGCAAGATTCGCGAGCGTCGCATGGCGGCATTACAGAGACAGCAGATGTTGCTTAAGCAGCAGCAGCAGCAGCAGCAGCAGCAGCAAGGCCAACAATCACCGCAAGGCGACGGACAGGCAGCTGCGCAACAAATGCAGCAGGCACAGTCTGCTCAAGGCCAAGCATCAAATCAAGCGCAGGCGCAGGCTCAGGCTCAGGCTCAGGCTCAGGCTCAGGCTCAGGCTCAGGCTCAGGCTCAGGCTCAGGCTCAGGCTCAGGCTCAGGCTCAGGCTCAGGCTCAGGCTCAGGCTCAGGCGCAACAGCAGCAGCTCCAGCAGCAGCAAGGCCAGGCCAGAGCAGCAAGTGCGGCGGCTGGCAATGCCGGTGCTGCGGCAAGACCCGGCGCAGCAGGGTCGCCGCCTGCCGGACCTCAACAGCAAGCACAGGCTGGTGCTGCAGGACCACAACAGCAGCAACGGCCGCAGCAGCCCACGAAATTTTCGGACAATGTGCTGCAAAATCTCAGTTTGCTTACTTACCTCCCCCCACCGGCGCTTGCCGACAAACCTCCAGAGGTTGCAGCGAAGTGGCAGGAAGATGTGCGTAAGAAGCTTGGTATGTCACTGACACAGATCGAAATGGCGCGCAGCAACGTCAATAAGCTCGACGCCAGTTTCAAAATGCGCTCCGCCAACAACCAGATCACGCCCGAGGATGCAAAGGCTTACAAGGATCGCCGCGATATGCTTCAAAAGCTACTGGACGACTCGACGCGCTTTGTGGCCGCGTATCGTAAACAGCAAGAGCAGACGAAAGTGTACATGCAGCAAAAAATGATGCAACAACAAGCGGCGGGCGGTGCCGCAGGCGGTCAACAGCAGCCACTATCGACACAACAGGCAGGAGCGGCAGCGCAGCAACCAGCAGGACAACAGAAAAACGCCAAGACAGAGGCCACGAACATGCAGAGCTCACAAGCCAACATCAACGGCGCTATTGAAGCCGCCAAAAAGGAATCGATTGCAGCTGGAGCGCGACAGGGCACGGGCAACACCAATATGGCTATCAACAGCAATAACAACAATGTCGCAGGAGGGGCGAACAAGCCGGCACCGGGGAGCGTCCAACAAACACCGATTCCCCCGCCAGTCATTCCTGCCGCCGCCATGCAGGGCGCGCCGAAGCAGCCGCCCAAGCCGCCCGTTCAAACTCCCGTGCATCCCCCTCCTACACCCATCAACACCGCTGCAGCGGCTGCCAACAAAGCAGGCGGTCCGCCGACGGCTGGCACGCCGACACCTGCATCGGCCGCGGCAGCTGCTAGCCGTGTGCCGCAGACCCCGCACGTTGCCACACCAGTGAATGCCCCCCCCAGGGCGCTGTCGCACCAGAAAGCCATCGAGGAAGCGAATAAAAGGCGCGCTGCTTCGATCAACAACGGAGCAGTATCCACCCCGCCGGTTGCATCCGCGAATGGAGCTACCCCTGGTTCGGGCGCTGCCACTCCTGGCGGCGGCAACAACAGCGCGGCCACACCTCAGCAGCAAAACAACCAAGCACAAAATCAGTCGATGCAGCAGCAACAGGCTGCTATGAACCAACAGCAACAGCAAGCCGCCGCCGCCGCCGCCGCCGCAGCAGCAGCAGCGAACAGTGGTGCTGGAGGTCAGAACATTCCAACGAGCGCTACGCAAGAAGCAGCCCGCATTAACTCAAAGCTAGGCGAGTCACGCCAGAATATCACCAAGCAGTTGTCTGAGAAGGCCGCGCAGATGCCTCAACCCGTTTCTCTCGGCGGTGGCCTTGTGCCCGGCCGTCCGACGCTGACCGGCGGTGGCGGTGTGGTCGGCGGTGTCCTCGGACAGGCCGCGATCGCCAAGGTGCCCGCCATCCAAATCGACGGTGAGGGCGAGCGCGTGCTAAACAAGAAGCGTCTCGATGAGCTAGTCCGCCAGGTGTGCGGTGGTACGGCTGAGGGCCACGAAGGCAATCTGCTGCAGCCGGAGGTTGAAGAGGTATGTCTTCTCTTTTCCTCACATTTCACTGTCCATTGATTTTTACGTCACATTCCATTCATACTAACATGAAGAAGTCGGTTCTGAACCTGGCCGACTCGTTTGTGGACAATGTGCTGCACTCCGCGTGCCGGAACGCCAAGGAACGCGGGTCTAAGGTACTCGAGATCCGCGATTTGCAGCTGGTGCTGGAGCGCACGTACAACATCCGCATCCCCGGCTACTCGTCGGACGAGCTGCGCACTGTCCGCAAGGTGCAGCCTTCGATGGCTTGGATCACCAAAATGAGCGTCATCCAGGCCGCCAAGGTCACGTCGGCCACAAAGAACGACCCGTGAAGAGGGCCTTTGTGAATTTGTTCTTTTGCGATTTTTCAGAAGGGCAGGGGGCGTTTTATTTCCGTTCTCTTTTTTTTTAAAAAAAAAAATCTACGGAGTATGTTTATCAGGGATGGGAAACGCCAATTGTTAACAAAGAATGTGGTCGAAGCCACGGCGCACGCAGTATTGCCATTGCCTTTCTTTTATCTGTATTGCTTAATTATTTTCTGTGCATTTCTAACGTGGACATCGGTACCTCTTTAAGAAAACAATGGAAGACGCTACAAACCTGACCCAGAGCTTGAAGTAAATCCAATGTCGACGAAGTCAATGTAGGTCACGTGTGTTCCATTGAAACACTGATATGTCGGCCCACTCACATCCAGCAGTTCCAGTATGCCAACCGCTTCATATGCCGGCACAGGGCAATTTGTGCATTCCTAGCTTCGATTTTCGCAAGGCATGATATTGTGACACGTAAAGGAAATTGTTGGGCAGGAAAGAAACCATCGCAAAGCATATCGCATCGCGGTGAATATTTTCACTATTTACCAGATCTTTAAACGACAAAATTGACTCCGGCACAGCGGCAGAGGTTAATCGCGTCATGCCAATCACTATTGGAAGTGCGTTTGTTTGGTGGGCGTGATTGAAGCGACAATGACATGGATGAATAATCCTGCCAAATCAGCTAACTATTGTGTAGAAGTCCGCGACGCCTTCAGCCAGAAGGCAGCCATGGACTAACGTCACGCGAGTGAATTGGGCCAGAAGGCGTTCCGGCAGGAAGTGGGTAGCTGTAACATGCCTGCAACGACAGTGGTAGCCAATACGTGCCCACAGATCCCTTCGCCCCAAAAAATAGCGAGTGTGCGTTGCTCCGGCAGGTGCATAGCGCTAGAGCGTGACAGCGTGCGCATTGTTTCCCCTGTATTTTGTAGCGCGATGGAACCCTCCCAGGGCTTTGTTTGCTGTCCAGGCATGGTCTTGCCCTGTGTTTGGCTATCTTAAGATACGTCCATGCGACCTTTCCACCACCTTCTGCGATTCCTCGAGACTTCCCAAGCTCCGCTGTTCCAACACCCAATGCACCTTCCACTTTTCGTCCTGCTTCTTTCCCAGTGACCATATGTGACCTGTTTGGATCACGATTATTTTGAAAGCTACACTTTACAGCTTCATTTTTCCTGCATTTTGCCTTGCTGCAGCAGCACAACAACCCCAAACTGCGACTGCGTATCACAGCCTACAGCTATTTCTACGTTGCTGGGTTCGACAGTACCCAAAAGGTTCCGTCACAGTCTTTTTCAGGCTAACCACGGACAAAGCTTTCTTTCGCCTCTCTCGCTGCCTCAGCCGCGTATCCTCATTGCTGTCTTCCATCATCACACTCCCCTTGCCCATCGGTCTCCCTCCTCATCACCACCCCTCACAACGGCCAGCGATTTTGCTTTGATCACCATTTAGCTCATCCGTCGCACCTGTGCTTCACCGAACCCTTCGTCATCATCATTAGCATAACAGAAGCAGACCCCCATTAGACGGGATTCTCAAGGACATAGACGCAAACAGCCGCATCGAGCGAACAAGCCCACAGCGCACCGACGCCACTTTTGCAACTACAAACGGAGAAGCTAATCTCCCCCTCCTCTCCTGCGTCTTTTACGCTTTCTGCTATTCCCAAGCCGCATCTTGACGCGCTTTTCCGACAAGATAAGCCGAGCTGCTACGAACCCGCCGTTCCAGCCCCAACACATACACACTTCCTCGCCATGCCGGGCAAAACACCTCGTGGCAACGGCAAGGAGCCTGTTGAGAATGGTGGCATCCGTAACAACAAGGATGTTGAGATGAAGGACGACGCCACGCTCAAGGGCAAGAAGAAGCCCGGAAAGGGCGGCGATGGCGAGGCCACCGTCGTCGTAGCACCATCAAAAGGAGCCGGCAAGCAGCAGGGCGAGGATGGCGATGTGGCAATGGCAGACGGCGACGCCTCTGCCGAAGAGAAGGATGTCGTCAAGGTTGACCCTGCTGTTCAAACATCTGCAGGTACGTTCCGAAGCCATTGCCTGGACCTTGGTTCTCGTGGCTGCGTTGCGCTCTTGAGCAACACCCAAGGACCTCGCACCTCGCACATTGTTTGCTGTGACTAACCACTCTGGTTCATTAGATATCAAGAGCAACTTCGCTCTGCTCGATCGCGCCGTCGCCCTTTTCGATGCTCGCTTCTCCCTTCGCGCGATGCGCTCCATCTCATCCCTCCGCAAGCGCCTGACCCCCGATATTTTGGCACGCGTCATTTCGGAGACCTTCCCGGCGAACTCCGCACCCGCAAAGCAGCTGCTGGCCGCCCTCGGCCGGGAGAACCTTCCGCTCGGCCGGCGGCCAAACGGTACAGAGATGGAGGTCGACACACCTGCTTCGGCAGCAACCCCGACTAAGAATGGTGCGTCTGGCACGCCGCCGCCATCCGCTACTACCACACCCAAGAAGGACATCATCCCCGAGATCGATATCTTCCTCGGCATCCTGATCCTCGTTCACCTGTACGACGCTAAGCAGCAGCAACGTGGCTACAATTTTGCACGCGTCCTGACTGAGCGCATCCACACTCTGAACCGGCGCACGCTCGACTCGCTCGCTGCCAAAGTGTATTTCTACTACTCCCTGTTCAGCGAGCAGCTTGCCCCTCTGCCACCCTCGCCGCAGTCGCCCGTCATCGCTATCCGCCCTGCTCTGCTGGCCGCGCTCCGTACCGCTGTTCTGCGCAAGGATGTCGATACGCAAGCCGCTGTCATTGTGCTTCTTCTGCGGAATTACCTATCGACGTCAAACATTGCTCAGGCCGACCTATTGGTGTCCCACACTCAGTTCCCGGAGAACGCGGCTAACAACCAGGTTGCCCGGTTCCTGTACTACCTGGGACGCATCCGTGCCATCCAGCTGAACTACACCGAAGCCCACGAGCACCTGACCGCTGCTACGCGGAAGGCGCCTTCAAGCCCCTCGGCTGTTGGGTTCTCTCAGACGGCGACCAAGCTGCTGCTTGTCGTGGAGCTCCTCATGGGTGACATTCCCGACCGCGCCATTTTCCGGCAGGCCACTCTGGAGCAGGCGCTGCACCCGTACTTCCTGCTGGTGCAGGCTGTGCGCGTCGGCAACTTGGAGGACTTTGAGACGACCATTGCCGACCACGCCGACACGTTCCGCAAGGACGGCACCTACTCGCTGATCCTCCGCCTACGCCAGAACGTCATCAAGACGGGCATCCGCATGATGTCGCTGTCGTACAGCCGCATTTCTTTGCGCGACATATGCATCCGGCTGCACCTAGGTAGCGAGGAGTCTGCAGAGTACATTGTTGCCAAGGCCATCCGAGATGGCGTGATCGAGGCCACACTCGACCGCGAACACGGCTTCATGAAGAGCAAGGACGTTGGTGACGTGTACGCCACACGCGAGCCGGGCGAGGCCTTCCATGACCGTATCCGGGCATGTCTCGCTCTGCACGACGAGAGCGTCAAGGTAAGGTGTCACCCCCTAATTTATTTCACATTGTCAAGACAAAGTGACTAACGACGTTGTCTTCCTTAGGCGATGCGCTTCCCCATGAATCAGCACCGGTTAGAGCTGAAGAATGCTCAGGAGGCACGAGAGCGCGAGCGTGAGATGGCGAAGGAGATACAAGACGGCGACCTGGATGAGGATGACCTGGGTGGCGAGTTTGACGGCATGTAATCGATACGTATGCCTAAGTCTTACCAATCGTGTGCCCTTTGTCTCAGTCGCAACTTTTTATGTCTTGTTTTCCGGGAGGCGCCGGGGAGACAGGTTGTCTTTCTGCTGGTTTTACTGCTTTTCTCTCCGTTGTCTAATGTGCTTTTCGTTTTTCTTTCGTCCTCACTTCTTGCATCCTGTACTTTCTACTATCATGTGTTTTCGTCCATATTTATCATAAACGTGTATCCCACTTATTATTAAAGATACAGTTTACTTCATGCCCAGTGCACTCATGCTTCTCGTTTGCACGTACAGTAGCTGGGCTGATTTCACTGTGATGGTATCAATGTGTGTTTCTCCTTTACAACACCAAACACGAACCCGCCGCTCTTGTTTTGCGTACCTTTGCTCTTACATCTTCTGCTGTCATCTTCGGTAGCGTTTCTTGTACGACGTGTCTTTGAGATCCCTTTTACTGGGATCGTTTTGAGAATCCTTCTAGGCGCCTGCTTGGAGTGTTTGATATTTTAGCAGCTGGGTTTAGAAAAACGAGACTGGAAGGGCCGGTGCGGTACAATGAAGTGCAAGGACAGCTAGGAGAGGAGACTCTAAGAGAGTCAATAGGCATCCTTGACCTTCGATTTGATGTGCAGCTGGCAGTACAGAAAAACGATAAAGAAACGGGCCGTGGTAGAGGGAGGACGGGGCGACTAAAGGCGGAGTCAGTTCGCTATCTGATAATAGGAAAAGAACGACAGATACAAGAACCCAATTGATCCCTCAATATCGGAATATGGGATATTTCTTCCTACGAGGTCGTACGACGTACATTACTTAATGCTTCGCAAGGCTGAGGTCAAAAGCTGGCAATTCAACCGCGAAGCTTAGCGGATGCTGCGGGTGCAAAGCTTTGGCGCTGGCACACAGGCTGGCAAAAGCCGCCACTCGGCGCACCTTCCAGAACCACGAGGCCATCTGGCCCCCAGAGCCCCGCTAGTTGCCTTCAGTCCGCCCTGTCGCAGTGTACTTAATTCGGCCATCTGCCAAAACGATCATTTATATCAGTCTCGATTCTCATTACACGCTTCTCACATCAAATCCGCCGCCGCGCCGCTCAGCATAACGTTACGTCCTGTCGTCTTGCTAGCGACCTTTCCTTGTCATTGTACCGTTTTGGACGCTATAGCACAATGTCTGCCTCTTTGGCACCTGAGTGCAACGAGGTGAAGGAGTACGCCATGCATCTCCCCAAAGTCAAACAGACGACAAGGATTTCCGCCTCGGCCGCCAAATACTGA